ATGATTTGATTTGATAAATAAGAAAACGTATCAATGCAAGGATACGATGATAATCATCATATATTTAGCTTCTCTAAAGAAACGATTCGTTTTACAATCGCCAGCACGTGCCTTTAAAAATCTGGAATTGTATTGTTTCAAAAAAAATTCATCATAAAACAATGAGAAAACCAAAAGATTCAATTGTTATCTTCTTTTATTCATTGATTTATGACTCGATTTGAAAAAAATGATAAATCAGATAGACATCATTTTATTGTTAATCTTTTTACGACCGGACATTGTTTCTAAAAATAATTTCTCATCCATTATAATTATTATTAAATCCGATCAACACTTTATATCATTCAGATTTGACTTTTCAAACAAATCGTATCTAATGATTACCGAATATATTGAATTGATGCTATTTCAAATAATCGATATGAAAAAAAGTAAATTTTATTATATGATTTTGTGTACATTTTGAATCACAGGTGTGTGTGATGTTGATGAACATTAAACGATGTTTGTTTGATTAATTCACATGTGATGTTGGGGGTTTGTTTATTTTGTTTTGCTGTTGTTGTTGATGTTGTGGAAAAAAGGGAAAAGTATGAATAAATAAGAAGCCAAGCCTAACAAGAACGATAATTATTTGCAATTTGATAAGCTTATGGAAAATCATTAAAAATCTAATCAGGTAAAGTTAAATTGACAAATTTTTTTTATCCAGATAAAAAACAAATTTCCGGTATTCATGTAACCGGTGAATAATTTTCGATATATAGTAGCAAGTGACAAATTGAATCAAATATGATTATAAAAACTGTAAGTGTGCCATTGATTTCTATAAAAAGAAATTTTTCATTTAATTCAGTTTCTCATTCTAATTTTAATTATTAGATAACATTGAAGAATGTCAACAACATTTTATTATCATCATCAAAAAAATACAAACAAACAAACAATTCAGGACTTGATCGAAATTGAAACTTGAAAAAACCAAATTTCATTTTCTCATCCGATCTATTTTGATGAGAGGAAAAAAACATAGACTTCATATAGCAGAGTGAAGGATTAATTGATGAAAAATATTCCAATTCATTTTCATTATTTGTTCATCTATTACAATAACCTGTTGTATGAATAGAGAGATGTGAGTCTGAATTTCAATGATGTTCGTGATGTAATCAACAACAACAACAAAAAAGTGAATGAACGGAACAGTGAAAAGAGAGTGCAATTGGATGACAAATATAACTTCTTTCTTTTTAGATGGAAAAAAATTCTATTCACATTTACAATCCGAATGGATTGCTTGCCCAAATAATGAGCAACGATATCTATTAAAATTAATAAGTAACCTAATCATCATCATCATTCATTTAAATGTCTAAAGGGGCTAAAAAACAACAAAACAATAAAATATTAGAATGGATGAATTAAAACTCTCACTCGAACAAAACAAAACAAAAAGTTAGATGCTTAAAATCATGATGATGAATTTCGTGTTTGACCTGAAGAAGACAAAAATAAAATGGAATGATCTTCAAATTTAACTCATCTTCTTGTTGGCTATATATAATCATCGAAATCTTTGGTTCGAATTTTCAATGTAATTTTTTTTGTTGCTTTTCATTCCACCACTGTCAGATTAGTGTATATAGGATTACCAATATATATGTTTTGGTTTATAAATAATAAAAATAATAACGATCAAAATGGCAACAGACCACTCTCTATCCATCTCTTGTTTTTTTCATTGATGAAAATACATGAAGATGGATCACCTCAAATTTCTTCAATCGATGAACCATCGTATCAAACATCAACCAGCTAATTGGCAACAATCATCATCTTATTCATCAACATCATATATGATTACCAAAAAAAAACATGTCGTTGAAATTACATCAGGCATCATCATTATTATTATTATGTTGATGATGATAATGATGATCAAGGGCAAACAAGAGAAAAAATAGAAACTGATCATTATTTTCGATTTTCTCGAGAAAAAAGGTGAGAGTATTGAGAATATTGAACAAATTTTTTACCCGAAATCATTGATGTCAGTATCGATTATGGTACTCAATGGACCAATATTGAAGTAAATATTCATCGTTAATGATGATGAATTTTTGTTCGGCTAGAGGGAAATTGAATTTTTTTTTCTCTTATGGCATCATTGATTATCATCAATAAAAAATAAAAGTTTTTTTTAACTAATACACCTGGCCTATCTACTGTACAACTCATCTTGATCGACAGCCATGATCATGTCAATTTTATTATTCGATACAGGTTTCGGTTTTTTTTACTAAAGACAACGGGTGTGGGCTGCTATTTTACCATTATAAAGATGCTCTAATCAATAGGATATTGTTTTGATAAGAAAAAATATGAAAGCTATGATATCGTGAGCGAAGATGTATATTTAAGAAAAAGAAACAAAAAAAATCCAACACCAAGATTCAAATCTATGATGTTCGATTTCAATTGTTTCAAATCCGATATAAATCTATCATGCTGATGATTTTTTATTATTATTACCAAAGTATTTTGTTTAAGTATGCTTTCTGTTCGATCTATTGATTCTAATTTTGGATCATAAGATGATCTATACTGATTAACGAATTCATTTGGGCAAACAATCAAACTATATATCTTGATCGAACTGTTTTTTTTATTTTGGTTCAGACATTTAAATAACTTACCGTTATAATTTTTCGAAAAAAAAGAAGAGAATGATAATCATATAAATCTCAAAATTTCTTAACAACAATGATCATAGAAATAAATCGTAAAGAGACCACAAATACAATGATCCAAAAAAAAATGATTAGCATCTAAATCATGATGAAGTATTTTATGTCCATTAACTGTCAAATATATGGAATTATCGATATACGTTTATACGATGATAATTATTATGAAAATCACTAATCGAATACAATTTTGTATTGAAACAAAAAATATCGATTCGAATTATGCGGGAAAAACGGAAATAAATTCGTTGATGGAATGGATTAAAAAAAAATCTCAATTTATTCATATCAATCGAAAGTCGAAATAGAAAATGTTTTTTTTCATCATCGGATTAAATGTTGAATATGGAATAGAATGGATGTTATCTTCGAACGACAACTTGCTAATCACAAGACTTGATTTTAGTAGAAATGGAAAAAAATGAAGAAATTTGAGAAGTCAATTAAACTACACTACCATCATCACACACAACTACCAACAATACTAAGATCATCGAAAAAAAAACATTATCATTATTTATTCATATAAGAATGAACACATTCATTAAGATTGTAAATGCGTAGCCAATCTTGCAAAAGAATGATTTCCGATTTCCTCGTGAAATCAACAACAAGCTGAATCGAATCAATATATGTGAAAATTTTACACACACACACACACACACATACAGACAACCACACAATGATTATAAAAGTGTTAATGATGATGATAATCAAAAAAAAAGGAAATAAATATTTTATTTTTTTACGGATATTTATTCAATAAAATGATAATGATATTATTTAATTAATAATTGATCAAAATGTTGTTGTTGTTGTTGTGATATATGTTATGGAATCAGACATATATGAAACAACATAGAAATAACCGATCTTTGCATTATCAATTACAATACGATTGTCATGCCTGATGAGATTCATGTTTAATCAGGGGAACATAACAAATAATACAGATTTATTGACGACATGTCGGTATGTAGTCTTTGTGATGATTTTGAATTTGACATTTATGTTATGTCTGTGTGTGTGTCTATCATCATCATCGTCGTCGTCGTCGTCGTCGTCGAGACAGCCCGATAATGATGACTATTCAAGATCTACCTGTTTCCAGGTTTTTGCTTCGATATCTATTCATCATTTCAACAACAACAACAAAAATTCAATTTTTTTACAATCTATGTTTATGAATTTTCTCTAATCATCATCATCATCATGATCAACAATATCAATTGAAGCGAAATATAGCAAAACAAGAACAAATATCAACATGAAAAATAATTAGCTAGATTCCAGCTAATGATGATTATAATCATTTGAAATATCAACTCGGTATCATCATTCATAATAATTATCATATATTTAAAAGATATATTCACTTGGTAAAAAGAAGTCGTTCAAACAAGATTCTTTTTAACTTGAAAAACATGGATTCAATTAATCAAAAGCTTAAGATATACATCAAAATGAATAACAGAAAAAAATGTGTGACAAAATGTTTTGAATAACTTTTAGTTATTACTGAAAATTACACCTGGAAATAAACATTAAAAATTCCTTTGAAATAATAAAGTTCAATAAACGATAAAATCTCGGGTACGATGTCAACAAAAAAAAATACAATCTATTTTTATGGTGAAAAAAACTAAACAAAAATCAAAAATGTCAAACAATTTTGATCTGTATTTCGTGAGGAAAATATTAAGGATTTTATTCTAATCTATCTATTTTTTTTTATAGACATGAAAATGTTTTCTTAATACTCAGGGAAGCTCACACCCGAAACATTTGATGAAAGAAAAACAGAAAAGGTATAGAAAAAAAATATGATCAATAACCGTTTAATTGCTTTTTTTGTGTGTATGCACTGCGGTATGTACGGGTGTGTGCGTGTGAGTGGTGTGTATATATCTGCCTCCAATTTTCAATTGAAATTCGACAAGGAAAAAAAGCTATCTTGGTCGGATATCCATTTCAATTAAGATTGAATCAATTTCGCCCAAAAAAACAAAAAAATGTTTTGTATCGCGACAACGTAAACGTGTTTTTTTTTGTCCCGTTCATTTATTGTGAAAAAATTCTCAATGATATTTTCCAATTGAATTTTATAAAATCGGAACAAATACGGAAATCGATGATCATCAACATCATCGATATAGTTAAAAGAAATGCACAGTTATTTGATAATCGTTGAAACTTTTAGAGTACGGAAATTTTTTTTTAATGAATTGAAAAAAATAACTATTTACTCACCTTGATTTGGCGAATGATAATGGTAGAATACTGATGATGATGATGATGATGTGATATAGATAAGAAAAATAATCTTAAAATTAGGTCGAATCCAAGATATTCTTCATTGATAAATCATGAGACAAAAAAAAATGCGATTTAATTTTTTCAGTGTTGAACAGTATCGATGAATAATGTAAAGAAAACAATTATAACATGTTCGATTGCAGAGATGGACGAATAGATATCGATAATCGATGAAAACACAACATTCGAATCGAAATCGAATGTGAGTGGATGTCATTTAAAAATATCATGAAAAAAAACAAAATGTTTTATCTCCAGAATCAATAACCATTTAAGCATTGGATCATTGAAGCAATAAAGGTCAAAAAATGATAATAATATGTTCATCAATATAATATTTTTTTTTTAAATTTGACTACAGAAATGCTTATGAATGGCGAAATAAGTCAACAATTTTGATTTTTTTAAACATGTCTTTTTTGTTCTCTCGTTATTCACTCATCCAATTCTCCGTTTGAAATCACCATTTAATCGAATCGATTTGATCTTGAAAATTCAATGATGTGAATAGTAAAACTCTGTGATCCGTGACTATTTTAACTATTTAAAAAAATGAAGAATCTTTCAAGCTTAAAATTTAAACCAAACACAAACACAGATCTAATTTTTGCGGAAAATTTTTATTCAAAAGAATCCATGCACAAACCTACATGAACAAAGACAAAGACAAAGCAAAATAAAAAACTATTATGAAGATGATTCACATCGATTATTGTTAATCAATCAATGAATGCGAAAATATCCATTCATCATCGATGGATAACTTTTCAACAATGGATTTTTTTCGGGTTGTAGCGAAAATGAAATAGCAAACGAAAACTGACATAAATTGGTTTTTTTCTTGAAAAAATTGATCTCAGAACACCGAAGAAATTCAAAAATATCGATGAAGACAATAGATACGAAATAAGAAAATGATAATTTATCAACATGAAAAGTAAGTGATGAAGTTAATGAAAATTAGGTTGATTTGTTATCGTTATATTGTGAAAAATGATGTTATTGTTGATTACAATGACGATGGCGATGTGATGAATTAGCTATATTAGCGTTTATTTGAGGAATATTTTCGATGTGAGCTTGCCATACAAAATTCTTCTATTCAATCATCTGTATATTTCGAACAAATGTTAATAAATTTTAATATCATCATAATATTTGAAGAATTTCTAACTTTCACATTCAATATTAATGGAGTCTTTTTCCTTATCTGATTGTAAATTGTCAATATTTCATTCATAAATGTCACGATAGTCAATTTTTTCTGTCGAGGAAAGTGAACAACAAACTTTTTTTCTGAATGGTCAAGAAAACTGATATGACAATGGGCTCTTTGATGAATAGCGGTTAAATTTAATGAATGAAAAAATTGTTGACCATTCTTTTCAGGCGAAAAAAATAACGCACAATACGATTATTGAAGAACAAACGGTGTCTTAACACACACACACCCATGTGATAGAAACAAATACCGACAATTCGACCCGAATAACATGGGAAATAACAAAACTGCATGAGAATTTTAAGTAAAGGTGAACACATGCGTGATCCGTTATTTTTTCTTCATTATCATTTTGATGTTTGGAACATTATGAAACCATATGAACATTGATGAGGATAACTAAACGTCGTCGTCGTCTGTACATTGTTATTTTCATATTAAATGATGTTTTCAACGGCTTCAACTTACTTGTTTTGTATTGTATATTTTTTTTTACAAACATTGAAACAAAAATAAAAGAGGAAAAAAAATTGGTGTGTTTTGCTACTGGGAATGAAATGAAATGCTATCATCATCATAAAAAGAGATAGAAAAAAGAGAAAGAGAAATTTAGCTCTTTTTTTCCGTTATTTTTTTTTTACTTACTCACTTGTCAAACTTGAGTGAATGAATTGAGGAAAGAAAAAAGATTGGTATTATGATGTAATAACGGGATCTAGAAAGAGAGAGAGAGAGAGAGAGAAAAAAAAATGATTTGGCTCCGGAAAGTTACTAAGAACGAAGAGATAATAAAGTGGAATTTTTTTACATTTTTTTCAAAAAACCAAAAAAAAAAACAGAATCACAAAGAAAAAAGAATTGTATGAAATTTCAGAAACCATATTTTTTTCTGGGTAACTTTCTAAAAAGTCTATTTTTGTATCATCAACTTTGTGACAACATTATATACACACACATAATTTATGACACCCACATACACACATGTGTGCATCGGGTGAAAAAAGAAAAGAAAAACTAATTTGATCGCCGAAACTAAAAAAATTATTATTATGAAGCAAAAAAAAATTGAAAAATAGTTACGATGACAAGAGTGTGGCCAGGTTGTACATTATTTTATTTAGTTTTTTTTTTGAACAGAATTCCATGAATCATGGATGTTAACATCAGTTTGGTTGTTCATTTTTCGGTTCGGTCTCAAACTGTTTCTTATTACACAATGGCTAATCATGTAGTGAGTCAACAAAAAAAATATATAAATGGATGTTATGAAAATGATGATGTTTGGTTGTTTCTTTTTTTCCTGACAAAATTTTTTTCTTCTTATTCTTTAGAGTTTTTTTTATTACAAAGCTTTTCTACAATTTAGTTCATTTTTGTGAAAAACCATAACATTTTATATGGAACAACAAGGGTATCTTGATTCACAAATAAAGAAAGGAAACTGATGATAAAGAAAGACTGTTGTTTAGCTGTTGTTGTCGTTATAATACCTGTATGGTTTTTTTTTCTTATTAATAATGGATGCATGAAAAAAAATACAAAGCTTAAATAACTGTTTCACAGTATCGAAAAGTATATATTTCATCAGTTTATTTTTTGTTCCGTTATTGTTGTTGTTTACCTGTTCGAAGAATATTGTCAACCGACAACAAAATGAAAAATAAAAACGAGTCTTCGCCTAAAAAAAAGAACACCCAAATGGTTTTTTTTCACATAAGAAAAAAAAATATCCTTTTTTCGTAAAAGTATTTCAATCGATCAATTTTTCCCAAAAATGTTGTATTTAATGTGAAAATTTTCAATTTATTTTTTTGTGGGCAAAAAAAAATCAACCAAACAAAACCGAAAATAATCATGTTCAATATTAATACGATTTTGGTCGAACCTTTTTTTTTGCTCAACTTTTTTCACTTGTTAATACGATCGGCAAATAATGATGCCAAAAGGATTATGATCTACATATTTCAATACTAAACGCATAGGTAAAATTAAAAGCAAACTTTCCATTTTTTTTTCTCATTTGCATAAATATTTCAAGCACATTAACTTGCTCAAATTGATCGATTCAATTTGATTAATCGTTTAGGATTTTGTTTGGTTTTTATTTTGATAACATTTATATTAAAAAAAACAACGCAAAAATGGTAATAAAAAATAATTATCATTAGTAATATCTGATCATAAAGAGTTTTTCCATAATAGACAATCAATAAAAAAAATGAATGAATTGTTTATTGGAGATTTATGAAAAAAATAGGCAAATTTTCTTTTACTATCATCATTATTTTTATTTCATTGCTGAACATACATATCAGGCTTGTCATGGAATGTCTTGGTCATTGGTCTTGGTTGTCAGAAAGTTGTTTTTTTATTTAAATAATTTCAACAACCATTAACGTGTCCTATCGATTATCATTAATAGTTTCTATCAATCATTCATTTCAACTGGAATGGATAGTTTTTTTTGTTGCATAGTTGATAGTTTTAATATGAAACGAATTTGAAAACATTGATTGTCATAAGATTCATTGCTTTTTCATACAATATCTACTAAATTTTTTTCTTAAATTATAAACATTTTTTCAACAAAAAAAAATTATTTCAAGTAGATAAAAAATGAAAAGAAAAATTTTCATTATAAAATATAATTATCATGCCAAACTGCTGGTTTGGTTACTTAATAATAAATATCTCCCAAAAAATAATTCACATCATACGATAATCATGAATGCAAAAAAAAAAAATTTCTTAGTGCCGGATATTTTCTTTTCTTTTTAAATTAATATTAATTTCATAAAAAATTTCATTACATTGTTGAATAATGGAAAAGAAATTCATATTTATGCATAAATATTTGGTTGTGTGTGTGTGTGTGTGAAAATACACGAAAAAAGCACATCGTGTTCTAGCAATGAATACCGGAAACATTTTTTCCAAACATTATTACACAACACACAAAAAATAAGACAAAAGAAAAAACACACCTAATGTAGAAAAGATGAATATGGAAACAAAAAAAAAAATTTTGATTTTCTCACATGATTATGTGAGAAGTGTTAACCAGAGAAACACCATTTGTCGGTAATTTGTCCAGCATGCATATGACTTTTGATTGAAAACAAAATGAAATTTTTGGAACATGATTTTTTTTTATTGTTACACCATTATAGTTGAACAATTGATATCAGAAAATCATGAAATGTGGGAAATGTAGATGACCCGTTTGGTAAGGGAAAAAAGTGAATTTGGTCTAAAATGTTCGTAATTGTATATATGATGATCCATTGATAATATTAGTCTAAGAAATGTCTGGAATTCATCTTTGCATCTGCTAAACCAATGTCATTTCGACGTGTTTAGCATCATTAAATAGTTGTACAAAAAAAAGTAGCCAACTGGTTTTTTCTATTGTTATATCTATTTCTGGAAAAGATATTTGAATGTCATTGATGATGATTATTATGATGATGATGATCTAGATTTTTGTCTGTAAATCATCTTGCTCGATATGCAGGCAAGCAATTCAATGATAATGATCACATGATTTTTTGAAGAAAAAAGATCATTTTGTTTGAAAAGTATTTTTTCATTAACATTTTTGTTTTGAAATTTTCTTATTTTTGTTTTGTATCAAATCATTCCATATGATGATGATGATTGAAATGAATGCGTTGGCATGTCCGAGAATGATCTTCAAATTGAAATTATTTCAATTGTTTTTTATTTAGATTCATTCGATCATTTTCATAATAATTATTATTTTTTTAACTCTATCAATAAAACAAATGTTTGAATATATTATACACTGTTTACAAAATTTTGACATACCAAACATTGTTATTTTTTTCGTCGATATAAATAATTTTGAATGATTACAACATCCCCAAACGACAACTGAAGAGTGTCCAGAAAAAGACAAAATGGATGAATTTATTATTTTACATCTGTCATCATATATGAGAAATATTAAAGAAAAATTTATCTTCTTCCTCTCTCTCTTGATTTTCATTTTGGTTAAAAGAAAAAAAATAAAAAATTGGAACAAAAGCAATTTCATGTGGATAAAATAGGTGTCCAGATGTCTGTTTTATTTTTGTTTCGCTCTGGTCATCATTATCAAAACAGACAAAATGTGCATACAAAATATGCACATTTTAAATTTTTCAATGTCATTTATCTAAATGTATTATTTTTTTGTTTATTTTTATAATGGTTGATGATTGAGAAATGATATTGCAATTATCTTTTTTTCCCCGTAACACAATGTGTAGGTGGTAAAAGTTTAATAAAATACTTTTGTCGGTATGGATTCTTGCTATCATCATCATTAGCTATGATGAATTTTAAATTTTTCTTTTTTTTTCAGTCTGGTGTTTTTTCACTGTTGATATATCAAATGAAGAAAACCGATCATTTATATTATCTCGTCAATGTTAATCGATGGGAAAAAATGTTTTCGGTCACAATTTTTTTTCTGTCTTTCGTTGAAATGATAATGAAAAAAAAAATCAAGATTGATGTCATCTAATATCAGCAAATTTTTTTCCACCAATACTCCTACATTACTAAGCTTAGTTGTAAACGGGGCCATGAACTAAAGATTGGGATTTATATTTCAAAATTTTTTTCTGTCGTCATTACGTTGATGAGACGGATTTTGATTTTAAATTTTGATAAGAATCATTGTTTTTTTGCATTTGCATCATCTTATTTAGTGATCATCATTATTATATGTGATTTTTCAATTGTTTTTTTTTTGTTATATCGACTTTGATTACATTTTAAAGGAAAGAAGATTATGTTGTAATCGGTCAATTTGATGAATGGATGAATAAAACTATGAAAAATCAAATTATCTATTGTTTTTATTTTTTGTTAATTGGATGAAATTCGACATTTCACTATTTCAATGTAGGGATAATCAATGACATTAAAAATTCTTCGTTTTTTTCCAACGTAATTTTTTTTAAACCACGAATCTTATTCGAATTGAAAATTGAACTTAACCTTAATTATATGATTGGGTTTTTTTCAAAAATAATCTTCAAAAAATGATGATGATGATGTATATGAACGCACGCTTTCACATTCGACATTGAAATTATTTTCAATGATAACACTTTGGTATTTTGTGAAAAATTGTAACGCCTTTTTCAATTTATCACATTAATGAAATAAGATTGTGAAAAAAAATCAGTTCAAAGAACTATTTGTTGATTTAAGAAGTTTAGACTCTGAATAGAAATGATGAATTTTGATCCAAATCATCATCACCATTGCCTTTTCCAAACTAGGAAAAAATTATTATTGTCCAATAATTATCACTATCTTCTGATTCACCATTTTTTCACTATTTTAACTGTTGTTGCCTACGTAAATTATTATACGAGATAATAATTGGATACGGTCTGTTTGTCGCCAAGTTTTAAAATGAAAAAACAAAACAAAAACAACGATGATCGACAATCTTTAAAAGACAATTGTAACGGTTTGAAAAAACACTGGTGTCAAGACAATTTTATTCGCTTTTTGATGTCTTTTCTTTCTATCTCTCTCTCTCTCCATATATCTCGTTTTCATATTCTGGCAAGGACACATTTTTGAAAATCAAAAAAATCGTCAACGATTGTTTATTTTTTTGTGTGTGTGTTCAAATAATTTCTTCGATTCCAGAAAGCAAAATGTTGCAGAAAGCAAAACCTATTTTCATCGAATGCTTTAAGGCATAATACTCTCTTCGGGAGTTGACAAAACGAATTTCACAAACGAACAAAGTTGATGATGATGATGATAGATCACAATAACAATGACATTCAGGCATTGTTTTTGTCTTTCATAATATTCACCATCAATGATGATGATGATAGCTTTTGGGCTTGTCATAAGATTCCAATAAGACCAATTATAAAACTTTTATTACAATGGGAAAAAAGATGTATCGAATGAAATAATTAGCGATAAAACATCTCTATAAAACATGTAATACAAAAGCATTAATCTTTATAACGGAAATCGAACCGTTTCTCGAACAATGTTGTTTATAATCATCATTATTATGTGTGACGATAAAAACAATTAAAAAAATTATTCTCTGTTAACCAAAGACAAATTTTGTAATAGTTTGATGTATTGTCTTCGTTTAATGTTGAAATTACAATGTCTTTAATATCATAATCATCATCATCATTAAAATCAACCTCTAATTAGTTGATTTCAGTCATTCCTAATTATTATAGAAATGAATGAGAAAGAAAAGACAATGAATATGAACAAGAAAAAAAATCAAGGTAATTCATTTTATGATAGGTAACAATATTTTTTTTAAACGTTCGATCAAGTCCTTGATGAACAATCGGCATTGGAAATTTCTATGAAAAAAAATTGAAACACACAGAGAATAGTATAACTGATTGTATATCATCCACATTCATATCATTGATTCATTTTTCATAGAGCAAATCAATTCGAGCCTCATTTTCAATGGAAATTTAAATTTTATCAAACGAGGAAAACTAAAGTCCAGTTTTGTTTTGTGATCACCAATAAGTTGTGTGGCCATTATCCAGCAATCAAAAAAAGCCCAAATTTCTATTTTGTTTTTGATACTCTTGAATTGAAACTACAAAACCGATGAAGAAAAAACAACAGCAACATTGAAATGAATTTTTTCATGATTTAAAAACAAATTGTCAACTATTAAATGTTTGTGATGGTAACAGATAAAAAAAATTGTTACAACTTTTCCGTAGTTTATCTTGATTTTCAAATTCCCAACATTTTTTTTAATTATTGATCCTTACTTTTTGATATTATCTGATAAATGATTTATTGTGACATTTTGTTTGAATAGAAAATTATCACCCGTTGCTCAGTGATGTAAAATCTGATAATATCAAATTAATTTTTTTTCCATTACTTTTAAATTATCTTGAGAAGGAAGAAAATAACGACTGCTTACCATTTAACTAGATGCAACTTGATGAACGACTAGTTTATCAACACGGCCAATTTAATCATCATCAACATTAAGGCAAGTTTACTGTTTGTTGTCTTATCCTATGCAGTTCAACGCCACCGTTCATTTTGCTTCACCAAAAAAAGCTGCAACGTATATAAATACCCTTCTGAAAAAAAACTTGGATCAATTTCTCTTTTTTATTTCAAAAAAATTACGGAATCGAAATTATAAAACAAAAATGATGAATCACCAATTGTTTTTATATTCAACATTTTCTATGACCATACTGTTTATCTGTTGGTCATGGACAACAGCAAGTGAACTTGAACAAATTATCAACAATAATGATAATACTAACAAATCCAAAATTAAAGTTGATGTCTACTATGAAACACTTTGTCCGGATTCAATCCAATTTCTATTGAGACAATTAGTGCCCAATTATGATCGAATCAAAGATAAAGCTGATCTTCGTTTGTATCCATTTGGTAAAGCTCAGGTAAATTGTTTTTTATCAATAATTTTCACATTTCTAACATTTTGTTTTGTTTTGATTCAGTTTTTCGAATCTGGTAATTCATACGAATTTTATTGCCAACATGGACCAAAAGAATGTCGTGGTAATATGATACATTGCTGTGTACTTCATCAGAATAGCTATGATGTTTCATTACCATTTATCAAATGTATGGAAAAAGAATTGTATGGATTACGAAGACCTGATGTAGATTTCGTTGCACAAAAGGTAAGCCTTTTTGATAATAGAAAAAAATGATGAAAACAATTTAAAGGTGTTTTTATTTCATCAAATCAATAAACGAATTTAATGCGCAAAAAAGTAGTTAAGAATAGCAAACGATTGACAATTGAATTTGAAGGGACAATCATATAGGTTTTTTTAATTCAGTGTACATTTTCCACCTTATAAATTGTGAATATAACAATAACAATAATAAATGAATCCCATCAAAATCGATCGTCCTGCAATAAAAATAGCATTGATGTTCGCGGCTATTGTTGTTTTATTTGAACAATTACTTTGCCAACATTTTTTCCTGCCTGAAGATGCTATATATATAAAAACAACAATAAAAAAAATAATTAAAATCGAACAAAATTTTTCTTTTGTGAGGCGAAAAACAATATAAATACAGAAAAAAAACATACCTCGATAGCATTTATTGATGATTGAACACCGATAATATCATTCATATCGATTCGTATAATCAACTTTTGTGTACGAAACAATTCAATCAATTCGTCAAGATATTGTTGAAAAAAACTTTGATAGTGTCGAAAACGAAATCCAATTATCGATGCCGATTTGTTCAACAACTATGATAATAATAAAGCAATTACAAAGATAATAATAATAATAATAATAATTCAATTTCTTTTACCTTTATTGGAAGATTTTGAATAGAAATATCCGGAAATCCGATTGTTTTATATCCAGTAATAGCGCCCACAATAACAATTCTTCCACCAACGGCTAAATGTTTGAATAAAATTTCGAACATTGAACCGCCATAAGTCTCCCAGATTACGTCGATTCCGTCCTTTTAAAAAGAAAAAATTTATGAATTTAATGTTGAATTTATATGAAAAATCTTACAGGAAATTTGTCTCCCAAAACTTCATCCAAATTTTCTTGTTTGTAATTTATTATATAATCACATCCAATTGATTCTAGAAATGATTTCTTATCAACTGTTGAACATAATCCGATCACTTTACAGCCTTTCATTTTGGCCCATTGAACGCCAATATGACCACAACCACCGGCTGCTGCGGTAATTAAAACCGTTTCTTCTTTTTTTATCATTCCTGCTTTGTCTAATCCGATTGCAGCTGTGAGACCACAATCCAGTAATGCAATGTATTCGGGTTTGATTTCGGGAACCGGGAAAAATTCTTCAGGCTTGATGTACTGTAAAAAAATATGTTATCCAAAAAATCTTATCCAAACACTATGATGCTTACAATATATTCAGCATAAGTTTTAGGTGGCATTGCAAAAACTAATCCAGATTTACCAATAGAAAATTGTTTTGGATCAATGTCTTTACCAATAGCTTCAATCGTACCCAATCCCTGGTTTAATCAGCAACATTTGTTCAATAATAATCATCATTTGAATTGCAATATTTTACCTCTAAACCTAAACCAAATGGGATATGACCTTTTGGGAAGATCGATGATCGACCAGTCATGATATTCATTTCGGTTGCATTCACACCAGAATAATAATTCTTAATTAATATTTCATCATTGTTTGGTGGACGTAAATCTTCTTCCACAATGGAAGCAGAATCGCGAATTTCATTGGAATATTTGTTGACCAAAAGTTTTTTATATTTTTCAGCATTAATCATCATTGTTGTCATTTGCAATTTGAATTCGGTGAAAATGCTTAGTCATGCAAGTACGAGTGGCCTGTATTGATTAGAATAAAAAGCGTTAAGGATTGAAATATCTTATCAATTAGAAAAATTATAGAAAATGATAACGATTTGCTTGTAACCAAAATATCTATTTTCAATATTAACAAAATGATCTAAAATAACATCAATTTTTTCAATAGTGCGCCAATTGGACCAATATTGATTGGAAACACGTCGATGATTGTACAACGACAAATCTAGGAAAACAACTATTGGTGGATGCAGGACGTAAAACTAAAGCAGTAAAACCAAAAATAACATTCATTCCTACCATCATCTTAGACGAGGTAATACTGTTTTTCTTTTGAATTTAAATTTTTATTTCATCAAATTTATTAACGAAACAAACATTTTAAATCTATCCTATCTAAATGTATATAGAAATATTCGGAACGAATTCAAGATCAAGCTTTATATGGAGATTTTGTTAAATTGATTGAAAATCACTATAACAAGAAAAACGAACATGAAACTAAATAGAAAAATTTAATTGTTCGAAAATTGACTTCTAAATTTTATTTATATTGATTGAAAAATTGGCAGACATTTTTATTGGAAAAAAATATAAATTGTTTAACATTAAATATGATGAATTTGAATAAAAATAAATCAATATTTTAAAGTAGTGATAAAAAATGAATGTAAGCAGCAAAAACTTTTGAGCCATAAATATAATTTTTTCGATTGATTTTTTCATTTTGGGAATGTGCACCATCATCGGCACTACCGATTGGCAAAAGAATGACACTTTTTTTCGTCACTTCTTCTAAAGTCAATGTGACCGGTATTGATCCACCTTCTCGAGTCATATCCGGTTGTATGCCATAAACTAATGAATTGAATAAACATGTGTTAAAAGTCGAAAATGGAAATAATAATAATCCATGGCACATACCATTTTTGATGGCCAATTTACCAGCTATGAAATTATTACTATTCGTATCAGCGATCCATGGTCGACTGGATTTTTGTCTATGTACTGACATTTTGTTTGGTGAATTGAGTTTCATAAACTCTTCGTTCAAATAATTCGTAACTTTGACTGTAATATCATCTGGATCTTGATTTGGTACTAAACGTATTGAAAATTTTCCAATCACTTTATGAGGTATGACGGTTTTCGAACCAGGATCAGCAAACGCGCCTTCGATTCCATGAATAGAAAGACAGGGAAATCGCCAACGATGAGCAAGAATATTAACCTTATCATTGAACCGTAATCTGCTAGTACCAATCTCATCACGATAAGCCTTCTCATCAAAATCAATTGATTGTAATGCGATACGTTCATTAGTTGTAAATGGTTTGACATTTTCCAAGACTCCAGGTATCAAAATATTACCACTTTCGTCTGTTAATCTGGACATTAAATGAATTAAATCAGTCATGGCCTCATGAACAGCACCACCATAGACTCCCGAATGAAGATCTTTTTTCGCACATTCAACCTGCAAATAGAAATAGGTATTTCCTCGGAGTCCATAACTAAGACAAGGCCGAGATTGGCCTAACCAATAACTGTCACTTATACAGAAATAATCGACATCCTTCAGGAAGGTATCTTTTAGCGAATAAATCAATTGATGTAATCCTACAGATCCGGATTCTTCCATAGCTTCGAAAATAAACTATAAGAAATAATGATGATAATCATTTAATATCAGTTAATAACATTATTACTTTCAAATTGATTGGCAAGGGGATCGAACAGCTTCTAAATGCATCAATCATATTGATCCAAGCTAGCACTGGGCCTTTATCGTCAGAAGCACCACGGCCATACAATTTGCCATCATGTTCGACCAATTTAAATGGTTCTGTGTTCCAACCATCTTGTAAAAGAGCTGGTTGTACGTCAAGATGTCCATAAATACATAGTGTCTTCTTTTTGATATCATTGCCAATATAACCACAGAGAACAGGTGGCAATGGTAGTTGAGTTCCATCAGGAAATGTTTCATCACCAATCATATGTAATTCACATTCTACACCTTTGGATTCTAGCAACTAAACTACCATTCTGTTAATAAAGGTAAACATTAAAAATATTCATGACTACCTGTTGAAAATGTTTTACAACATTCAATGTTTCTGGACGATATTCTTTTTGCGATGATACACTTGGAATGGCGATTGCATCGGCTAAAGCTTGAACATATGAATCCTGATTTTTTTCGATATAATTCCAAACTATTTTGATTTCATTAGATAATTCCATCCTAATGAAGATGATGATCAATAATGATTTTTTTTTGATTAATAAGCAGTATCAATAGAAAAATTTAAAAACTGACTTGATAAAAATGATTTGGATTAAATTTCGTTTAAATAACAAACGATTGATAATCTATCGTTTCACATGAAAGAAACTTAGATACTCTGTGTTTTATCATCAAGATAAGATTTATGACAAATAAATATGATCAATTTTAGAGCTTTTGTTTATTTTATTGACATTTTTTATTTGGAAAAATAACAAATCAAAACTAAATGTCTGGTTAATATAAATCAGCAAATATATGTTTGTAAAATGAAATGATATTAAATGATATGGAAAAAATGTTAAAGATGGAAATATTGCTTTTTTTAAAAAAATACTTTATCTAGTACGTCGTAAGCAAATACAAACAAGGATTATTAGGACTAAGATACAAAATATACTAAACACGATTGTCATGATGAACCATGAACGAATTTTACAACGAAGTGAACCTTTTGGATATTCTTCAGTACAAATATATAACGGTACATTCAAACCGAACGTTTCCAATGCTTGATCTAATTTTTTCAAATCAACATCATCATCGGTACAATAGATTTTGGCTGCACGATGGACACATTCCAATAGTTCCCAATACGAACAACATTCTACTTTGTATTTAGGCTGATAAACATCAGTTGATGTGAAAAAGAAACCTGATGAAAAACGACCAAATTGATGATGTTCACGTTGTCGATCACGACATCGTTGAAAATCTGGCCAAATTCGTTCCAAACAAATTCGACTACGTGATGAATAATTTGAATCAATCGTTTTAAAATTAATAAATGATTGTAATATGAACCAAATGAAGAATAAACGATAAATGGTTAATGAATGAAACCAATTAATTATGTTATCGGAGATGAACATTATTTATCGAAATTTTTTTTTGCAACATAAATTAGTTGAATGAATGTATGTATTTCGTTCACAATGAGGTATATACAAATAAGTTGGAAAAATATTCCACAAATCAGCAATGATAATTGCCTTGTTGAAAAGATACATTTTTCCCATGTTAACAAGTTTAATTCGAGACAATTACAATATCCGCCGACAATGAAATTCAATAAATTAAATCAATTGCTATGTACTTAATCACATTAAAAAAACTATCATCACGAGTTTCCTTTTGAAAAAAAAACAATATTCACAGACATTTGAATTTGTCAAGATCACCAGACATTTAATAATATTATTGTTGAAAATAACAGTGATGTCAACAATGATAACAAATAAGAAATCGAGGATGTGCCGGACGAATATCGTTGAATGCGACCACTACATTCAATATTTTGTCGTGGAAATTGTTCATGACAGATTTCGGATGGAACAGCCGAGCCTAATTGACGACTATAGGCAATCATATCATGTTTTTCATTTGGACAATGTTGACGAGCTGCATATTCAATGCAATCTAAAAATTCATAATAAGCACAACAGGAAATTCTATTGACCGATTCGGTTAAAGCAGCTCGTGTATATACTGGTTCAAGATTATCACGTTCATATGTTAATCGTTCACTTTGTTTGTCCATACATTCTTGCCATTGTTTTCCAATTTTATATAGACAAGTACCACCTTTAGCAAAAATTGTATCTTGAGCAATAGTTTGATGATAATGATTTGCTAATAATAATAGAATCACAATAGTCAATCGTTGATGATCCATTACGAATTATTAAATTTGAACAAATAAACCGATTCGAATAAAAGTGACCGAAAGAATGACAAAGCCATTATGAAAAAAACAAAATGAATAAATGAAAAAAAATTTTGAAAAGAAAATTTATGGAAGAAAACAAATGATCCAATGATGTCGTCGTTTTGAAGGTTACCATCCATTTCATCAAACCACCTACATACCTCTTGCATCCATCAATTTAAATGACGAAGAAAGTTGCAACCTGTCGTTTATAGACAGATATTTACAAATTTCGATTGAGTATATTACATTCATTCATAAATGTTAACTTTTTTTCATAGAATTCTTACCATAAATAGCTATTTATGGTAATGTTGAAATAGCATCGAAATGATGTACACATCCGCTCAATTTAAAAAAAAATCAACAGTTGTCTTTGGCATACAAACATCCCATAAATATACAAAATTGGCTATGAAAATAAATAAACGTAAAATACACACACATCCTTATTTAATTTCTGTGTTCCCAAGTGGACAATGTCCACTAAATAATATAGAGATTTTATGAAGGTGAGATTCAGTGATTCATTGATGAGACACATGCAGAAACGAAAACAACCACAAAACTTTAAGTAGGTGGATCTGAATTGAAATGTAGATAAATTCGAAATTATCGACAAAAAAAATTCAATTCAAACTTTACGAATGGATAAAGAAAGAGTAAGAAATTCAAATCATACCTTCTTATTATGAGATATCGTAGATAAAAAGATGATGATCTTCAAAATACAATGAATTAATGTTATTGCATATAGACAACAAACATGAACAAATGTACTAAAGTTTTGCACGTACTATAACTTGATTCGTCTATTTTATTACCGATCATTAATAAACAGAAGAAAATATAGAGCAAGTAAAAACATTAAAGAGGGGACCGAAGAAACGAAAATTGGAAAAAATAGAATCACATTTTTTCAATAATAATTATTTTCCAATGTGTACAGTTTTTGTTGTTGTTGTTGTTGTTGTTGATGGTGTTCAGTTCAGTTCGGCTAAATCAAACACAATTTGGTCCGCTTATTTACGGATGGTCTATTCATTCTTCTCGCGGCTTCTTTGGCGTTTCTTGTTCGCATTTAAAGCACGTGCTTCAAAAACATTCATTGTTTTCATTTTTCATGATCTTTTTTTTTTTGGTCATAAAATTCCATCAAATTTCTCATTAAATAATCATTAGCTTGTTAGTCATTAATTTGTTATTAAATATCGAATATATAATGGATATTGATATAAAGAGTAAGATTTGTTTTTTTAATGCCAAATTGAATATTTACAATATTTTGAAATTTATTTTTAGACATCGCTATTAATGGAGAATCGCAAGTAAAAATGGCTTGTTCGAATTGTGGTTGCAGTGAATTGATACCTCTTAATGACAGTGTCAAAGCTGATGAAATGACATCTAAAGATTATTATTTTGATTCATATGGACATTATGGAATTCATGAAGAGATGCTTAAGGATGAAGTCAGAACAAAAGCATATAAAAACGCTGTCATGATGAATAGACATTTATTTAAAAATAAAGTTGTTCTGGATGTTGGCTGTGGAACGGCAATCTTATGTATGTTTGCCATCAAAGCCGGTGCAAAACATGCCATTGGAATCGAATGCAGTTCAATTATTGATGTAGCAAAACAAATCATTGCCGACAATAACATGTCAGACAGTAAGTTTTTTCCTGGGAATTATACTTTGATTAGCTATAAATTTTGAAAATTTTTATAGAAATTACCTTGATCAAAGGTAAAGCAGAAGAAATTGAATTGCCAGCCGAATATCCTAAAGTAGACATTATCATATCCGAATGGATGGGATATTGTCTATTTTATGAATTAATGTTGAGTACGGTGATTTTTGCTCGGGACAAGTGGCTGGTATGATTTTGATTAAGATAAATAATTGAACAAACTAATCTTTCAATCACGGTTTTAGGTTCCAAATGGTATGATATTTCCCGACAGAGCTCGCCTGTATATTACAGCCATTGAAGATCATCAGTACAAAGATGAAAAGATAAACTGTAAGATGATTTGATCTTATTATTCACTGTAATTTTCTATTTTTTTTCATCTTAAGGGTGGGATAATGTTTATGGCTTTAACATGAGCGCGGTTCGTAATCTTGTGATTAGCGAACCATTAGTCGATCTAGTTGAACCAAATCAAATTGTGACTAATTATTATAAAGTAAAAGAAGTTGACCTTTATACGGTCACTATTGATGATCTCACATTTGAATCAAATTTCAGTCTTATCGCAAAACGTAGCGATCACATCCATGCATTGGTAACATTCTTCTCTGTAGAATTTAGCAAATGTCTCAAAACTATTGGATTTTCCACTTGTGAGTATATTCTTTGTTCTAATTTTTTATTCGGAAAACTTACTTTCATTGTTGTTCAAAATAGCACCCGAACATCGTACAACACATTGGAAACAAACCATCTTTTATATTGATGATTACATGACCATTGCAAATGGAGAAGAAATTGTCGGAACATTTTACATGGCTCCGAATCTCAAAAATAGAGTATGTACATTTTATCATATTTTTTAAATCGCAAAAATTTATTAACTTTTTATTATCGCTTTTCAATAGCGTGATATGGATATCAAAATACACGTTGATCATCGTGGTGAATTGGAACAATACAATAATAGTTTCCTGTATAAAATGCGCTAAATTTTTTGAAATACTGAAAAGGCCCACAGTGTCTTTTATCACGAATTTATAGATGGGGTTTTTTGTTTATTTTGTGAAATTAATAATATAATTATATTAATAAAGAATTGTTTAATATGCAATAAAGTCTTTAAATTTTTTTCAAACATGAAATTTAAAAGTATATGCGTATTTAAATGTGTTAGGAATCCATTTTGGAAATTTTACCAATGTTCCATTTGAACCTGGACCAAATTTTATTGACTCATCAGAACCGAGCATGGTAACCTGATTCACATCATCATAATCGATACATTCAAATTCCATAATACCTTCATTTGGCCAATCCAACGTTATTCCATAGATACCATCATTTTTCTTTGTATAAAATGTTTGATTATTCTTTGACATTTGACATTTTTCATAAATTTGACTTTCATAAATTGCTTCCCCATTAATTTCCAACCATTCTCCCAATTGAGATAAACGTTCTTCAAAAATGGGCATTATTCGGCCATCTTTATTAGGTCCAACATTAACAAGAAAATTGCCACCAAAACTAATTGTTTTTAAAAGTTGATGGATTAATTCATTAATAGTTAATAATTGATCAAGTGAAGCTTCTCTTCTATAACCCCATGCCACTTGGTCGATACTAATAGCACTTTCCCATTTATGTTTAGGCAATGAATCTGGATTATTGCGATCAGGACCATCGAAAAAACCACCATGTTTGTTGTGGCAATTTGTTCCCCATCGATCATTCGTTACGATTACATCTTTTACTGGACTGTCATTATAGAGCCATGCCAAGATATCGGTACTATTCCAATAGGTATCATTATACACAGCATCACCATCTGACCACAAAAGCTCCGGTCGATATGTATTAATTAGTTCTTCTAGTTCCGGTCGAGCTTTCAATCGTACATATTCATGGGTAGTATAATTGTGTTCCATATCTTTCAGATATAATGGATGAAACCATTCGAATAACGAATAATAGAGACCAAGATGAATATTGCCAATTTTTCGAATGGCTGCGCTGAATTCGCCAACAATATCACGTTTAGGTCCTAAAGCCATTGAATTCCATTGAAATGAATATGATGATGGCCATAATGTAAAACCTTCATGATGTTTGGTGGTCAAAACTGTATATCTAGCTCCAGATTTTTTAATAATTTCTGCCCATTGAGTAGCATTGAAGAATTCGGTTCGAAAATTGGAGCCGAATTCTGCATAGGTGAAATTCGGCTTGAAATTATCTCTCATGTACCGTAAAAGTTGTGTATGTTGCCAAACATATGGAGTAGATGAGTCACGCCAAAAATCCCAAAACCATTCAGAAACATAAGAAGGTTCGGAAAACAAACCGAAATGTAGAAAGATTCCAATTTTCGCCCGATCATACCATTCAGGCAATGGACGAGCATCTAATGATTTCCAATTCGGTTCATAATTAACACAATGAACGATTGTTAGAAGGTTAATGATTGATAAAATCAAAAATGATGAACGCATTTTCAAAACCTTCAATATGCCGTCTTTAATCAAATTATTCAGTTAGTAAAAAAAATATGACTTATCAATTTTTAGAAAATTTGTCAATCATCCAAATTGTTGAGTTTAATCAATTATAAGCACACACACATATGAAAATGAAGATAATTATTGTTTTATTTTATTTTTTTGTTGTTGGTATAGATTTTTAGCTCTCATAATAGTGATATTTTATTATTATAAGAGAAGTATTCCATTTTTTGCAAATTAAAGATTAAAATCTATACAAAGATACAAAGCTTAATATTTTCAAGTATTTTATTAATTTTTGAAAAAAAATCCTAACATAAGATCCAAATTAAAATCATACTATTTTGGCACCAATGTATTGAACAAATGTTACTTTTCAGAAAATGAATCATTAGTCTGCTATTCAAATGAAGATTGTTTATTCAATCGACCATTATTTTGCATTTGTTTCGATGTCGTTGAATGATGTGATGATAATATTCTTTGAATCTTAAAAATTTTAAGATTAACATATGAAAATTATATTATTGAATAAACATTCACCTCAATTTCATCGTTAGATATTAAAACAAGATTATATTCCATTAATATACGATTTCGTTCTTGTCTTAGACGATATGTTTCAAAATCCATAAGTTGTTTATAGAATCCGGGATTTGGTGCAGAAATTTGTCGAATATTTCGTATAACATCAAGAGTTTCGTTGCAATTGAATTTGGTGACCGAAGCAAGATATGCTGCTGTAATCGTTACACTTCTTGATATACCTGCCAAACTTTAATGGAAAAAAATTGTCTCTTATTCTATATGACCATTTTACCATTTTACATTTACATTCGTACCAATGAATTAATACATTTCCACCGGTCAATCGAGCTTTATGAATAAAAAGATTACACTTTTTTTCCAAATTTATTACTTAAATAATTTGATTATTTTACATAATAAAAAACATATTATACTCACTTTTGGAATATGTTTTATTATGTTCTGATGTGGAGAATCCGCAATACAAATGCACAAATATTTAATACCCTATATATGGGAGAGATAAAGAGGGGAATACAATGAAGTGAAATATTAAAAAAAACTCTATTGAAATTACAGATTCTTGAGTTTTCTTTAAATACAGAATCTAATTTGATTAAAAACTACTAATAAGTTTTTTTTATTGTTTGAATTGTCTTAATGACATTATGAAGTTAATGGATCCATCTATGCTAAATGATTATTTAAAACTATTTTTTTTCCAAACCATTCATACATTATTATGGGGACATGTTTAATCCAAAAAAAATATGATTTGGCTTAGTACCATACAACTCGATATATGTGATGATTCGTTATGAATACTAATCATTGTTTTTTTTTCTTCCAAATATTATATTAGTAAACATTTATCATCATATTAACCAACAACATGCGAAAGAGGAAAAAATGTAATTCTTGACAATAATAAGAAGACCAGAAATTATGCTGTTCTGTTGAATTGATTAAACCTAAACCAGCATTTTTTTTTAATATTTCATTATGAATGATGACGTATTTGTTTTATAATACAATAAACACACACACACAACGACAAACAAATGAAAACAAAAATTGCCTAAATAATTATTATGGATCGGCAATAAAAAAAAATAAATAAAAATATGGAAACCAACAAGGGCGTTAGCGATTATCATGCGTGTATGGGTGATCATCATCATGATTATTAGCCTTGAACAAAAATTATAACTATCATTTGAAAATTATGATGACGATTTCTGAAAATCCTATTATTGTATTGATCGATAAAAAAAATTGGAAAACATTGGTACTTATACATTCACAATCGTAATCGACCAATAACAATTTCCATTATGTTCATTTTAAGATTCGTTGTTTTTTTGGGTTCTCAGAAAGATAAATCAATGAAATCATTAGTAAGGAAAACTTGGAACTCATTTGGTTTATCGATTATAATCTTGTCATTCAATCTCAATACATCGATAGATAGATGAGAAAAAATTATTCAAATCAATTAAAATCAATAATAAATTGATCATTATTATTATTTGTTGTTGTTGTTGCCAACCTCAACTTGATAGATATTCTCCGTATCCAGAATAGAAATAATGTGTGTAATCGAATTGATCTTCAGTTGTTCATGATTTTTTGAATCTCGAAAGTTACCAATGTAAAGACCATGAATAATCTAAATATTTTTTGCAAGGAGTAAACAATTTTATAATGAAATGGCTGAGTATTACTTACTTTATCCATAGCATCGTTTACATTTGATAATGAAAATAAAAATTTATTAGAATATCACAAGATTCGTTTAAGGTGCGCGCCAAACCCAAACTGATCCGAAAATCCAGATAGATTCACTTTTTTTTCGTTAATTTTTCTTATTGAACGCAGGCGCTCTTCAAATACAAATAAAAACTAGCGTTTATTTATTTATCATTTATTATTTAAAAAAATATTGAATCAATTTAATTATAAACCACATTGACAATAAAGTACACCATCATTACAATCATTGGCAACCGAATATTCATTACGTTGTTGAAAATAACTTTCAAATCGTTGATCAAAAGAAAAATTATAACAAGTACAAGATGTATATTTTCTTCCAATACTATTGCAATAGCTTTGACAATATTTTGGATCACATATCGAACAATGACAGAAACGTTTCAATAATGGTATAGGACGGCTGATTGATAGACGTGTCCGACAGGTTCCAGATGAATAGCCATAACTTTGACAATAGGAAGTACATTGTTGACTTACCAGACAATTTTCCGGTGGTACAGCTAAAAAAATGAATTCTTAAACCTTATATAATCAGATATATTGTATGAAACAAATTACCAAAAACATTGACTGAAATGATCGAAATTAAACCAAAAATAATATACATTGTCAATTTCCTTAAAAAAATTGAATAAAATTCAAATGAATGATTATGCAACAGAAATGAACAGATTTATTATTGTTTAGGTGTGTTTTGGTAATAAATTTTTATTTGTTTTATGTAAACATATGAAAAAAATGCATAGGATCATAAAATTTTTAACAATTTAATCGGAATCATCTTCGATATGTACATCATCATCCTGTTCATCGATCTCCGTCAATGATGACGAACAGGTTGCAACGGTGACTAAATGATTGATTGACTTTGTTTCGAATGATTGAAAATCGATTAAATAATTGATGAAATTGAGATACGGATGCTCGTTTGAAAAATGTTTGGGAAACGCTCGAACCATCGGTAGTATATCCATTATTAGATTTTTTTCATTATCGAATGTAAAAAATGAAGAATTCATATTCCTTAATTCAGCTATTTCTGCTCGATTATTACAAAGAATTTTATTCAAATGAAATGTTTTCGGAGGATTCAGCTGTCGAAATTGATTTATTTTCTTTTTATGAATAAGCACAGGTTTTTCAAGATAATTTTGATAAGCATAATTATCATTGTTTAAATTGAATAACATTCCACGAATAGCCAAAGACATTTGAACATTTTTGAATGAATCTCTTTCATTGTAGTTATCGATCACCGAATAAGTGGAATCACAAAGTGTTTGAAGGCAATCGGAACACTTTTCGAGGTCATCTGCATCTTGAATAAAATCTTGATAATTTTCATATAACCAATCAATCAATTGATCGTATGAAATGTTGGCAAGTTCGGCAATTTCTTCTGGTTTATTATCTTTCAGTGGATTTCTTAACTTTCTTTTATTGCATTCAGGATATTTTTGAATATATTTAATCACGAAGTTTTCACTAGTTTCCAAACGTTTTGCGTATAGAATTTTGGCGATGGCATGAGAAAATGTTAGTGAATCATTTCGATCACAATCAATGGAGTTTACATTTTCGTGAGGAACATGAATTGTGGATTTCAATTTTCTAGTTCTTTTATTCTTTTTATCTGATGACGAATATTTGAATTTTAAGTAGTTTAAAGCATGACGAACATCCCCGGAACTAGTTGAAATAATTTCTTGAATTTGAGATTTATTCAAAGGATTTCCAATGGAAGAATTTTCGATAACTTTCGACAAACAAGTGTCGCTGATAGGTTTGAAGGTAATTATTTTAAAATTTAACAAATTAATTATGTGTTTGGGTAGTATTTTTTGTTCTAAATTTTCTCCTTGAGCAGTGGTCGAAATAATGAATACAATTGGAACAATGATAGCGGATCGGTGATTAATCCTATATGATTTCAATTCTTCATGCAATAAATCTGGTTTTATTAGAAAAATACTTGGTATTTCTTTTATCATGAGAATCTTTCGATCATTATACGTTTGATCATGAATGAATTTTCTACATTGGTTTAATTTATGCAAAAAATTCTTAATTCGATTCATTTGATTTTCATCTTGTAATGGTCTGATGACACTATTTCCATCATCATTTATAAACAATGTTGATGAAAAATTATCAGATATTGATAAAACCGGTAATTCGACAATTTTTATTTGCAATTCTCTGGCCAATACTTTCAATGTAATAGTTTTTCCCGAACCAGATGGACCATTCAAAAGTAAAAATGGTGATTTCGTTTGATGATTATCTCGATCAAAATAACAGTTAAACCAATCTTTCAACTCATTTAATTTAGCTCTAGAAACAGCCAGCTCTTTGGATGATTCTGGTTCGTAAATATTGTCGTTTTTCGTATCAACTTCATTGTTGTAACAATTTTCCAACGTACGTTTTGGTAAATCAGATCCATTTGAAAACACTAATTTTTTCATTCGACTTGATTTTTTCTTAAATGGCGATAAATTAGACCCATTTTTGCATCTAGACATGATTGTCATCGATGAAAATGGAATTAAAAGTGTTCAAGAATTCGATGCTTAAAAATTTCAAGTTTTTATGAAAAAAAAACATAAATAAACTTGGTTAGATAACACTCCGAGAGATGGCGGGTTTTTAAGAAAAAAAGTTTTTTTTAAATTTTCAAAATTTATTTTTCGATAAATTCCATTTATAAAAGCAAATTTTTAACAAATTATAGAGATCGTTTGAAAGAAATATAAATATTAAAGTATTCAGTTAAAAAAGTATATTACAAAATGATAAATTATTTACATAATAATGTTTCAAACTTCTGTATGCCTGTCATATCGTGGTGAATACAACTTTTCCATTGATCTGGTTTTATGATTTGAGTTATTCATCATTACTTGTGGTGATTGTGGTATATATTCATTGTTGTTACGTAATCGCATTGTTTGGATATAACTTTATTCGAATGAAAAAAAAAGAAAAACGTTATCCAATCTGAATTTTCGTAAAATTCATTTTATTTACTTGAGATTATTTTCCGAATTTGCACGAGCCGAAGCAGGAGCATATGGTTGATCTAAGACAGGAACTGGAACATACTCTTCTGTGTCTCTATAGCTATTTATGATGAAAATTATCAATGAAAATTTTTGATACATTCAAATGAACTCAATATTACCTTTTTGCTCGACAATAAAGACACGAACACATCAGAGTGAAAAATAGAAGAACAATCAATGTGGCCAAAATGCTCCATGTTGCTGCACGATAAATTCTAAGCTCATCCAAATATGGCTCAACAGTTGGCATCCAAGTGATCGGAGCTGAACCGACTAGCAGAGGAACATATGAATTCCAGAATTGAGCCGATTTCTGTTTATAATTTCGCCACATTGTCGATGTTGAATATGGAAAAGTAATCAACGTCCAATCTGTATTTTCCCAATCACTTGTGAACGGTATGTTTGTTGTATAGTTGGTTGAATTGATTGCCAAATATTGTAAATTTTCCAAAGACATGGGCTTCCAAATGATAGTATTGAATAACGCATATGGGGTTGGACCACAATTCCAAGCAGTTGGTGTACAAACTGGTTTTTTTGCAAAATTAGCCCAGGTTTCCATCAACAACTGGCTAATATTTCGATCTTGTTCAGTCCATTGAGCTAAATCTAATTTTAAAGCTTTTGGATAAAATCTAGGATCCATAAATGGCGCTCCAGAAGCTAGCAAATATTCAGTGTCGTGTGGAACACCTGAAACAAATGAGATAATTTTGATTCGTTTTCTAATAGCTAATAATAATATCTTACCTAGCCAGGATGGAAGATTAAGACCTTGTATTGTATAATTAAGCATGTACATATAGGTAACAACATTATTTTTAAGCATTAATTTGACCATTTTATCATTCGGTGCTGTATACCATGAATCAGTTATCATCTAAAATTTAAATAAGTTTCAATTCGTGCAACCTTAATAATCTAGATAATTACATCAATAATTCCTTGACGAATTAAAGTTTTATTTTCGGGATCGTTCCATGGTGAATACATGAATGTAATTGCGCTGATCAATCTTTCCTGGTCCAAAGTATAGTTGTAAATTTTTACATATTCTTTTACATGTTTGGCAAAAAGGTCCGGATTGGTTTCGTAATTTCGTTTCTGTAATTCTTCATCTGAAACTTTTAATCGAAATTTAATTCTAACTCGGTAAATCATCGGTAAATTTATTATGACTTACACAAAGATTGTGATCCTTCATCGCGGGTAACACCACTCATATAAGCAAAATCTGGATCGAATAAGAGTAAACGTTTATTCAAAATAACTTCAGGTAATTCTGGTAGTAATTGCGAATCATGAGTTCGTGTATATTTATCAACAACCGGTGCCCAAGCAAGCCATCCAACATCGGGCTAAATAAAAATATTAATTTGATAATGACAAAATTGTAAGAATATGAGATGAAATACCTTTATCTCGGTAGTGGTAAAATCGGTAGCCGATCTGCTCTTCAAGCATTCAACTAGGATATAACTGGTACGAGTGGAACATCCAAATGCTCGACCAGCGATGACCGTATTGTTTCGCATATACAATGGATCTTTGATAATGGCCCAATCGGCTACTGCTGCTCCACTTTGAGCAATCACTCTTTTTATATATCTTCGTGTTAACGGGGACATGGCCAATAAACCAGCACTTGCAGCACCGGCATCGGGTCCAAACAAAGTGATTCGATTTGGATCACCATTGAAATTGACAATAACTTCTCGGACAAAATTAATGGCTTGCATCTGATCGAATAGGCCGTAATTTCCGGCCGAAGAATTATCCGAAGTAGCCAAAAATCCAAGTAAACCAAGACGATAATTAAATGTTACAACAACAACTTCTTGAGTTGCTGCCAGCATATGACCAGGAAAAATATTTCCAGAACCGTGATCAAAATGACCGCCATGGATATAAATCATCACAGGATATAATGATCTTGTTGGAGTAGCAGCCCATGGGGTGAAAATATTCATATAGAGACAATCTTCATCGGTAAACGGGATTCCCAAATCAGCATGGATATATCGTTTGTATTGAGGACAAGCAGCTCTATATCGATCGGCACGAATCGAACCCCATTGATCTGGTACCGAAGTTCTCTAATGAATCAATTAACAGTCATAATTAATTACAAAAAAAAAAATTATAATTCATTCGCACATACTTTAAAGCGAAGATTATTCTTTTTGGTAGGTGGTCTTGCATATGGAATTCCAAGAAAAGCTGTGACATTTCTTCTGAATTGAGTTATCGGTCGATACTTATGTGGTGCTCCAATTGGTACGTATTGAGCTGGACGTGGTCGTTCATGTTCTGGAACACCAGGTTCATCACATAAATAAACAACTCGACCTTCAACAGTTCCGTATGGTGTGGTAACAGTGGCGAATTCTAGCAAACCTTCTTTGACTGCTTCACGACAACGAAGATCACCTGGATCTTCGATTCGATATCTATTGTAAGTATTTGGTGTTACTGCAGAATAACGAGGATCATATTTATTAATTGGTTCTAAAGGACGATTTGGATCTTGATACATAATTGGATAATGACCCCATTGATCATAATTCGTAACTGGATTTGGTCTTGCAGTGAAATAAGGATCGATTCGATCTCCAGCATAAATATCAGAGAAACATGGACATATATAAAAATTGACAAGAATGAAATTGACTAAAAATGTTATCCCGGTAGCAGTTTTTGGAAAACATGACGCGTCAAATAAAAAAATGAACACATTTGGGTTTGATTTGGTTTTTCCTTTGTTGTTGATAAGATCCATGATTTTTTTTTCTTGTTGATCAAAAGAATCGAGAAATTGATAGATAAAAATTGATGAATGTAAAACAAATTTCAAATGGATGATGATGATGATGAGTGTAAACCGGATGTATATCAACAAATTAGTGATAATTTTTTTTTCACTGACACATAACGTCAATCATAATTCATCATCAATAATAATCCTGGTGAATTATGATTGAAACGATGAAATATTTCCATTCAAGCGTGATTAATTATATTATTTAAAAAAGATTATTATTTATATAATCAGAGTCTTTTCACTCCGCCTTTTTCTTCGTTCATTCAGAAAAAAAATTTCATCAAATATTCATGGCCTAATGAACATGGATTTAGGTTGATTTTGAATGAATCATCTCAATATGAATCAATGAAGTTGAATATTGGTCTTAATTAACTGGTGATAGTGGGGAAAAAACGTGCACGATCAAAACTAATTGATTGTTGATTGTTGTATAAATTTGAAGAAAATATATTTTTTTCACATCTTGTAAATAAGTTTGAGAATCGATGTATTTTTCCAAAAAAAAAAATCTACGGTAATGATTATCGGATTTTTTTTTTGTAATTGATAGTGATCAAGATTAGGCAGGTCTATATTTCACTCGTATACGACAACACATATTTTTTGCAATGATTACCATGGATACCATTATTGATAGTCGTGGTGTTTGTTGTCGGTATGTTGTTGTCTAGAATTTTAGCAATAGATAAAAAATAGTGAATAACCTTATTAGAAAAAGAAAAGAACTTCAATCTTATTCGTTTATTGTGTTTTATTTTTGCTGTCACCAAGAGAAACAATCAATTTTATTCTGATAAGAAAGAGTAGAGGGAAATATCGATCATTTAAAACAGAAAAGCAACATAATTATTGGAATGTAAAATGATATCATTTTTTTTTTTGGTAAAAGTGCACGAAGTATATGTGTGTATATCAGTTTACCTGTCATTATCAAATCATTATTTTTATCATGCGAATTAGCAATATAGTTTGAAAGAAAATTTAAACGATTCATTTGAAGCATTGTTTTAATGAAAAAAACAGTATATAAGATAGATAAATTTCGATCGTTTTTTTGTTTTGGTTTTATTCAACACAGACACATACAAATAATAAAAGCTCTGTATTATTTTTCGATATTGTATTGAGGTTGATGATAATGTCATATAAAGAAAAGAGAAAAGAAAAGGAAACTCTTGTTGACATCATCAAATGAAAATATATAGCGTGAATGCAACAAGTTCACACAACATAAATTCATACAACAACAACAACAATCAATTGAATGGAGCATCATTTGGCGCGATCATAGTTGTTGGAAATGGCAACAATAATAACTTGGAATAAAAACAGGTCCTGACCATCGACATTATCATCGCATGGTTTAACATATGAATGAATGTGTGAGAGAAAAAGAGAGCTACAACTCACCTGTCGTTGTGGTTGTTGAACAACTTTTTTTTGTGCTCATCTCATGATTAAAATGATCCTGTTGTTCATTGAAAAATATAAATGTTAAGCTTCGTTTACTTATAGCGGTATTAATAATCAAATGGCAATCATGATTGAAGAAGATCAACAGGTATTCGAACTTATTCCGCCATTCTGAAAAAACAAAATTTCACTCATAGATGGCACGACTATTTTAAAAAGAATATTTTTTAATCGATTTATTTTAATAACAAAAAAAACAAACAATTCTACAATGAATAATTTTACCAAATTCTTCGTATTTAAAAAAAAAACAATAATCTGCGAATGTGTGATTATGTTCCAAATGTCATCATTGTTATTTTTAAAACATTTTGGTTATTTAAAGAATCAAGTAGATAATGTTTATGCAAATGATATAATGGTACTTTATGAAATTTCAATCAAATTTTTTTTCATGGTTGTTTGCACTATTTTACAGAAATAATGAGCAAGAAAAATTTGAAAAAAAAGACAAAACAATAGCGAAATGACAAAAATTAAAGAAACAATTGGAGATTAGTAGGTTTTTGTTGAATATTTTGGTGTGTGTTTGAAAAATTAAATTTATCTGATCTGTGTAATATTCTAAATTTGTTTTTGAATTCTGCAATTGATGATGTAGGTGAAATTGTTGATGATTAAGTGATTTCAATGTGTTGTCGTCGATCGTTTTGGAATATGAATTTTTTTTACGGCCACTGAAATCGTTTTTAATTTGTCAAATGATAATTCTTGTTGATTAATTATTTTGTCATATTTTTATCTTATTCATTGACCATATACATTTTCATCACTATAATGAACGTAAAGGAAAAAATCTTCATCACGATATTGATTATAAAGTGATCCCATTGTCGATGATGTAGGTGGAACCATATTGTGAATGAAAAAAAATATCGCCTCCTCTGGTCGCAATTGTATTCGTTTACGGATCAGAAAATAGAATTGTCCGACGGTCAAATCTGTTGGCACAAGATATTTTTTCTTATCCAGATCACCGATTCGAGCGCCAGATGCTTTTTCAACTATCACCTGTTTCATTTTATAAAAAATATGAAAAAACAAAATTATTTAATTGATAATGCGATTTAATTTCTATCCATAATTTTTAAGAAAATACTCACAGGAACTCGTGTTGGATACTTTTTTCGAATTTTTTCACCTTCTTCTTTTCGTTGTTGAAATGAGTGTTGTTCTTTATATTGAAACTTCATTGTTAACTATTCGAATGTAAATTAACTATGAACAAAAGGGGAGAAAAAAATATTACATTTAATAAAATCATGTTGTCAATCGATGATTCTATGACAATTATATCATACAAATAGATTTGAAAAAGAGACACTAATGAGATGAATATGGACAGGATTTAGAATACCAACAACAACAACAAAATGTAGACCAGATAAATTCGTTGTTTTTTCTCCTCAAAAAAACTGGCCTAATGAAATTGAAAAAAAGATAGCGGACACAAGTGTCAAATCGATAAATCAACACAGCACAAACAATTAACTAAAAATAGTGACCAAACAACAACAAAAAAAATGAAAACAATATTTTGTTGATGACAAATCTATAAATTAGATTACACTTTTCCCTCTTTTGCCTAAAGAAATATGAATGTTGTTTCTTCTATATAAATAAAATATTATTGTGTGTGTTTTCCTATCTATGACAACAACAACAAACAAACAAACAAAGGTTGATGATGATGATGTTTAGTGCTCAACGGCAATGGAAAATTGATCATGAGACAGAAATATATAATCAAAAAAAAAAGAAAGGAAAAACATATATTTTGATGATCCATACATACATATACACAGAAGAACATGTATATCAGTATTAGTTTTTTCATTGAAAAATATATTACAATTAAGGCGTAATTTTTTTTTCATCACTCAACAACAACAACAACAATACAGCAGTTGTTATTATAAAACGATATATGACGATAAAAAAAAATAACTGCGTGCATCAGGTACGCAAGCGCTATAGATACGTTGACAACAATAACAACGCAGTTGTTTTTATGTGCATGATTTTGATGCTCATGACGTTTTTATTTATGGACTCCAAAATTTCAAAAATAAATACGGTGATGTTGCGATTAATAAATGACAATTTTGATAACTAACAATTGGATAGATTTTCATGGCAAAAATCTTAGGAAAATAAAATTTAAATTAATTAATGGATTATTAACTTTTGCTGATCACATTTTTTTACATTATATCTAGATACCACTGTTTTTTTTTGAACTTTTATAAATATAAAATGAGGAGATTGTGCATCAATGTTAATGAAAAAAATCATGATTTCTTTACCATCAATCGATGGAGATAATGAATTTGATGAAATTGGATAAAAGAAGATTTCATAAAATGGTAAATGAAAAGGATTTTTTTTTCATAGTTATTTTTTTCGAAAAAAGATTGCAAATAAAGACGATCATATGTTTTTTGGCTATGTTTATGACGTTTTTTTCTGTTCGTAACGCTAAAGTTATGACATTCAGGAAGAACTATCACGGATTTATATTGATAAAAAAACTTGATATCTTGTTTTGAAAACAAAAAATTTCAGATACACGTATTAGCATCACGAGGATGAATGAATCATACATTCACGTAAAGGCACAAAAAATAATTTCAAAAAAAAATTAGGATGAATTTTGCATAGCCAAAAGAACAGGAAAAAGGTTTAACTACCAGAGTCGAAATCAATTTCATTACCGTTCGATTTTTTTTTGACATCAATTTGTAAAAGTGAAATTCAAAAAACGGTTCGTAATAAAATCAATGTTTAAAATTTTCAATGACTCGATTTTTTTTTATTTCAAAAAAACTAATTTACATACCTTGTCTTTTTGTTTGGTTGTCCTTGTCGTTGTCTTCACCCAAAATGATGCATAAATCAATGTTTTGTTTTGTTTTTAATTTAAAAAGTCCAGATATTTAGTAAACAATGAGTCATCCAAATACAATGGTATCGATGTTCAATTCTGCCATCTTTCGATAAATTTGCAAGTTATTAAATGCGTAAGAATGACATCATCATCGTTTGGAACAGATTTTTGTTTGTTTAGTTGTTGATCATCTGATTTGTTTAATAATTGCAATTTAAATACGGACAATGTCCACTAATGTTAATCTTAGTTCTGATCTGAATAATTATCTTAAATCATCTGGGTCTTCGATTACTAATAATCAATCTCAAGCCACTAGTAAATCGATTAAAGAATGGTTCGACGGTACCGGTTCTGATATGAAAAAAGGGTGGTTTTCCTATCAACCATTACGTACATCACCAAGTGACGAAGAATTAAATAATGTCGGAATTTCATCACCTGTACAAAATGGCACCAGTAGAACAAATTCTTGGTTTCGTATTCCATTCGTTTCGAGCGAACCGGAACCCAAAGGATGGTTTCCAACTTTGGTGAGAATAATTGAAATACCTTCAAGTTTATCACGAATTTTAACCCTTTTCAACTTAATAGACTAGAACTCAACGAATAATTGGTTTCATAACGTGTTTTTTTATGGGCATAACATGTTTCTCAATAGTGAGCTATACATTTGAATTAAAAATATTCTCATTTTAACCAAAATCTATTTTTTCTAATCCAGTCGGCGATGTACATTCCAATTTTGTTGTTTGCAGCAAGAAAATTCTCGATACTATTCACATTTGGTTCGATATTTATTGTGGCAAGTTTTGCCATTTTATTAGGTCCTATGAATCATCTCAAACATCAATTTTCTAAAGAAAGACTACCATTTACAGCCGGCTATTTTGGTTCTTTGATCGCCACACTATATTTTGCTTTACAAGTTCAAAGTACCATATTGACATCTATATTTGCAATAATACAAGTGATAGCATTGATCTGGTACGTTGTGACATACATTCCTGGTGGTCAAACTGGCTTGATGTTTTTCTCAAAAATGGCCGCCAGTACTGTATCAAAAACTTTACCTGTTTGATTCTTTGAGTGATATAATTGTACAATTTTGTATATAAATTGTCATGCCTTCATTTATTATAATTAAATGCTGTTCCAATAAAAAGTTCTTTCTAAATAAGATTCCGTCGGTTCATTGTTTGTGCTGAGAAAAAAATGATTATCAATGTAAAAAGCACACATGATAAGATTAAAAATGATATTCAATGACCACCTAAAGATTTAACTATGAGAAGGAGGGGGTGGTGGAGGATAAATAGATCCAACTGCCGAAATCGATGGTGCTAATGGAGGTGGAGGAGGTAAGCCCGAAGATGTCGTTGTGGTTGCATTTCCCATAGATGCGGCGTACCATTGAGCATATTGGCTCCATTGATTCTGATCATAAGTACCATAACCAGCTACTGTTGTCGTCGTTGAATTTGTCGATGTAGAAGATTGACCATCAGTTGTATTACTAGTCGAAGCAGCTGCTGCAGTCCATGCTATAAGTTACAACAACAAAAAAAAAAAATCTAATAATGGTCCGATATATAAAGAATTTTACTCACCGGAAGGATCCCACATATGAGCCCCATATGCTGCGGCATTATAAGGATCATAAGATCCATAATAAGCCGCAGCATTAGGCCACATAGAAGATCCGTTAGCACTGGTCGTAGTCACCGAAGCAACAGTGGTTGGTGTAACAATAGGAGGAGGAGGTGGCGGTGGTATTCCACTACCGTTTGCCCAACTATTGGTATCAGCTGTCGATGTTGAAGGGCCTCCAAGTATGGAAGTAGCTGTTCTTTGACTCGACGGAATGGGAGTAGATGAAACAGATGTAGTTACTGCAGCTGATACAGGTGGTGCCTCTCCCAACTCGGCCATCAACGAAAGATATTCCTCATCAATCTTGGCTTGATTTACATTATTTTCAACACGTTTCTCTTTACAATCTTTGGCGAGATGGCCAACACCATTACAATTTGTACAAAATACATTATTGGTTATATTTGGTTTATCCGGACACTGCCATGAACGATGATTGTTAGCACCACAATTCGAACATCGTGGGCCATCATTTTCACGCAATGTTCCATTTAAAAGAGCCAATTCTCGCAATTGACTACGACGAAGTTCATTCATATTTTCGGGCAATTCGATACCCTTTTTAATGACTTCATTAATCTGACAAGTAAATAAGTTAAATTGATCATCTAATAAAGAATACTAACCTTTTGTACTGCCTTCATTACTGATTCCTGAGTAGGACCCGTTACAAATGCATGCAATGGCTCATCTTCACCAGGTAACGGTTGACCATCTTTTCGAGCTAATTTACCTTCTTTCACTGAACCTTTACCTCTGATAATAATTTTAGCTCCAGTCTATAAATCGAAAAAAACTAATATGATTGTATTGACAAAACAAAATTCACTTACATCTCGTTCCATTCCTTTGAGAGTATTTCCTCGAGGTCCAATGATAAGACCAACAAAATTAATATCCGGATATTCTTCTTGAGGAATCAGAACCTTTTCATTAATTTTGGTTTGTGGTGGTCTGTCAACGTTTTTTATTAAAATTGAGAATATAAAAGAGGGAAATGAAATACTTACTTGTAATCACCAGGAGGTTTATAAGTAGGATTTAGTTCCATCATTTTCAAAACCAGCGAATGTCTGTCATCTTCTAATTTTTTCCTAGTACGATACTCTCTCGTATTGAGACGTTTACCTTCAGTATTATAAACAGGCTCTGGTGAAGGAGATCTGTACTCATATTAATCATATTAATTAGAGATGGAATTATATTAAAGAAAAATTGTATTAAATCATCATGTTTAAAAAGTTGGTGTAGGTGTTAGTGTATGGCCACCGAAGGCCAATTTATTTCAAATATAAGATGAATCGAATCAAATGATTGTAAAAAATGTGAGATCCTATATAGAAACAATGTTTGCAAACCTTTCATCGGGATTTTCCGGTATTCCAAGATCGCCGGTAAGTAGACGACGAGTTAATGTTTCGATTTGTAATTGAACTGTATGGAAATATAAAAAAAATTAGAACAACCGAAGGGCAATAAAACCCATCGATTTTTATCATTAATTGAAATCCTGTGAAAAAGATACTGATTGACTATGAGTTAAAGGAATATATTCGCAATTGCTGAAGATTTCAGCAAAAACAAAAACCAAGCTGAATGCAAAATATAATAATTATTAAAAAAATTTTTTCAATCAATTGATACAATTGAAACAAAGAAATGTTTCAAAAAAACATTAAAGTTTCAATCCATTAATTAATCTTATCACCATAAAAGAATATATCTTACGAATATAGATCTCTTCCTGTTGTTTGTTTAATGTTGATGGAATGATTGTCGGCAATCCGGGTATAAATACTTTTTCTTGTTCATCACTGAATCGAGATTTTCGTTTCCGCTTTCTTTGTCCGACTTGAGATCAGAATGAAAAATTAATTAAAACAGATTTTTTGAATCAAATCTAAACTTACATGAATCATTACTATTTGAATTGTTAGAGTCAAAATATGATGGATCATAATCACGTTTATTATTCATTTTTTATATTATTAATTAGGTTCACACTTTAGTATTTAAAAAAAATCAAAGTGGAATGTGAAATTTATATAAGACAATTTAAAAAATACCAAACAAAATAAAAAACATTCCGATTAAAGTCAATAATTGTCATGGATCTACACAGCGAGGAGAATGCATACATATAAAACTCATTTGTTTTATTGTTGCCGTAAACTTTTCGGCTAAATCATGACCAAAACCGAGAAACTTTATATGAAAAAAACAGCCATTATTTCACGCGTATATAACTTATAAGTTAAAAGCGCCTGTGTGTGTGTGGAATAGCGTGAACAAAACCATTCTATTTACGACTCGAAAAAAGTTATTTTTATAACAAAAATAAAAATAATCTTTTTAATTTTTTTTCATCAATTTCATTATTTTTAACTAATAATTTTCATAATTATTTATAATTATTATCGTTTGAAATGGGTGTTCCAAAATTTTACCGATGGCTTAGTGAACGTTATCCATGTATTAATGAATATGTTAATCAATATAATGTAAGTTATAAACATTTTGTTTGGATGAAAATCATATTATAATTTAGGTGATAATATAATGATGTCATGTTTTTCAGATACCTGAATTTGACAATTTTTATGTTGACATGAATGGTGTGTTTCACATATGTTCACATCCAAGTGATGATGTTCATTTTCGAATACCTGAATCTCAAATATTTGAAAATATTGCTACTTATGTGAATTTTTTATTCAATTTGGTTCAACCACGTAAAGTATTCTTTTTATCTGTTGATGGCGTAGCACCAAGATCCAAAATGAATCAGCAAAGATCACGTCGTTTCAAATCAGCACAAGAAGCTATTGAGAAAGAAACTAAAGCTAGACGAATGGGACAAACATTGCCCAGTGATCCTCGTTTCGATTCTAATTGCATAACACCGGGAACGGAATTCATGAACAAATTACATTTGTTTATGGTAGAATTTATTGCTAAAAAAATACAAAATTGTCAAGAATGGCGCGAAGTCGAAATCATTTATTCGGGCTATGATGTACCTGGCGAAGGTGAACATAAAATTATGGATTATATTCGGTATAGTAAAACCAACGATTCATTTGAACATGATACTCGACATTGTTTGTATGGACTTGATGCCGATCTAATTAATCTTGGATTAAGTACACACGAGCCATATTTTTCAGTGTTAAGAGAAGAAGTTACTTTTGGTAAATCCAAACAACGACATTGTGATCCGATTCGCACAAATTTTCAATTATTACATCTTTCCATTTTACGAAAATATATTTTTCACGAATTCCAAGAACTAGAACGACAAATGAAGTTCAGATTTGATCTCGAAAAAATTATTGACGATTGGATTCTTATCAATTTTCTCGTTGGAAACGATTTTCTACCTCATGTACCAAAATTTCATATCAACAAAGGTGGAATTCAAATTTTATATGATACCTACAAATCTATATTGCCTGATCTAGATGGCTATCTCAACGACTCTGGTACATTGAACTTGAAAAGATATCAGAAATTTTTGGCAAAATTATCAGAACACGATTTGGACATGTTCAATCAGAACAATATGGATTTCAGCTATATTGATGACGTGAATGACATAACTTTTGGCAGTGGTGTTGATTTGGGACAAAATTTTGATTTCGAAAAAATGCAAGAATTAACCGAAGAAAATTCTCTTCTTTCGGATACCAATTCATCTTCTGATATTGATGATTCATCCAGCGAAAATGAATTGGATGATGAGTTTGTTATGCACAAAAATCATTATTATACGACCAAGTTGGCATTCAAAGATTTAGCAGCCGATGTTCCAAAAATTGTTTTCGAATACATCAAAGGTATTCAATGGGTGTTGCATTATTATTTTGATGGTTGTGTTTCATGGAATTGGTTTTATCCATTCCATTATGGACCTTATGTTTCTGATTTAGCCAAAATTGATATTTCTGAAGAATTCCATTTCGAAATGGGAACTCCTTTCCAGCCATTAGTACAATTATTAGCTGTTCTTCCTCAAGCAAGCAAAGAAATCCTACCCAAAGCTTTTCAAAAACTTACCTATATTCCTGATTCACCACTGATTGATTATTTTCCAAATGATTTCAAGACGGATTTAAATGAAAAAATTCACGATTATGAAGCTATTATTTTGATACCATTCATGGATGATCAATTATTGATGAATACTTTTGAACAGTACAAAAATGGCTTGACTTCTGAAGAAGTTGAACGTAACCGATTTGGCTTTCATCATCTATTGAAATGGTCGGATGAATCTCCCGAAATTCGCGATGCGTTTGATTTGGATCGATTCCCTAATGTATTTGATCAGAAGATTCCTCTAAATCAATTCGTTTTACCTCGTGAAATTATATACAAAGGTGTGCGGAAAAATGTCGATTTAGATGCTGTAAATGGATTTCCTTCATTTAATGGCATTGATTATTCGGTACGAATGGAAAATGCTCGAATTAGAGTATTTGAGTTTGCTTCACAAAATCCAACTATGATGATTGATGTTGAAAAGAAGTTCTACACAATGGAATCTTTACAAATTTTGGCAACAAAATTTTCCGACAAAATCGTTTATATTAATTGGCCATTATTAGCTGAAGCCAAATTGGTTGAAATGATTGATAGTGAATTTAGATATTCAAAAGAAACCAAATCAAAAATAACTCCAGAAGAGTTGCGTTCTGCCGAAATATCATCACGTAATCATTGTCTAATGATGAAAAACAAAAAAGGAATAATATTAGAATCTGTTGAACAGATGGTCAAAGTTTTGCCATTACAATCACAACGATATATTATAAGCGGAGGAAGAATTCAACTTCACAAAGAATGGTCAACAACATCGCAATTTGTTCCTATCGAATTGGTCATTTTTGAAAGTTCAATAGCCCATTATCGATCATTACCAGTTTATAAATCCTTGCATACAATATTTACTAAGGGTAAATCATTTTATTTAATTGCAAATCCTTATTATGGTTACAAAGCAACAGTGGTGAAATATCTGGCAAAAAATAACCATGTTCAAGCGAATGTCGTTGTTTCTTCTGAACCTGATTTTAGTGAGATTGAAATGGAATATTCATACATAATGAGTGAGAATTATTGCACTGAAGGTCGTGTTGGATTTATGGTCAAACGGGAATTGAATTTACCCGAAAGCGTTATAAGACGTTTGTTGGGCTCAGTATTATGCAAATACCAAACAAACAAAGGTCGGGTGAAGCGTGTCAATGTTGGTCTTAAGCTTAAATCTCGACATGATGGTGAGCTATATTGTGTTCCAGGTTATTCATGTATGGATCGAGATGATATTTTTTTTCATAAAAGTGTTATCAATATTCTTCTCGAATATCATGCAAAATTTCCTCACGTATTTGAAATGTTGATTAATCACAAACCAATATACGAATTGGAAAATCTTTTTCCTGGTTCTAATTTGGACCAAAGGTTTGTTTTCTATTATCCTGATGATTAGAAAAATTATTTAATTCTATTGATTTTTTTCGTTTCATATAGTGAAAAAACAAAAGCCTTGAATAGTATCAGAGACTGGTTAGATTTGCAAGAATTTTCAAAAATCGGCACTACGCGTGGAAATGCCAATTATTTGGACAATTGTATTGTGAAGGCTATTGAAGAGCGAATTGAATCTCATATGGTAATTTTTCCCTATGATAATAAGATTTTTTAAAAACTAATAATTATCTTTTTTATTAGGTTTTGCTGTGCGAAGAACAAACATTCACGCAAAAATTGCATCCATCAAGTTTTTACATACCAGAGTTCATTCTCAAAGGAAGCTATCTTCCCGATGCAAAAGTAAAATATCAATTATTTGATCGAGTTGTGAATGTGAAAACATCAATTATTGTACCATTTGGTGCTAAAGGAACTGTGATTGGTATTTATTCTGGTAATGATCACTTGAATAGATTCACACGTTTTAATAATGCGCCAAATGAAGAAGTTGAAGAAGAGAAAAAATCAGACGATGATTTATTATCTTCAACGATTGAAGTTTTATTTGATGAACCATTCGAGGGTGGTTTTTCCGAACGCAGTTCGAAATCCAATATTTTCAAAATGCATGCATCTTATTTAATTAATATTTCACATGGAATGCGGATGTCGAAAAAGAATGTCAATTTCAAGAACGTTTATCAACCAATTCAATCGACTGGACATAAACAATCAACTCATTATCAAAATAATTCTCGTCCACATTTCAATCATAATAATCATCAATTGCAAACGCAAAAATCGAGTAATATACCAATAAATAATACACCTCAAAAAATTCAAATAATGCCCAGGCCTGAACAATTCAATGAATCACCGAACAAATTCAATCATTCGGAAAATTCTCGGTTCAAAGCTATTTCTAAACCGTCATATGCTGGTATTGTTGTTGGTTCTAATGTTCAAGAACAATCTTCAATCGAACAAGGATTTCAACCTTCCAATGAGGCTATTCATTTTCCGAATAACCTACCATTACCACCGAGTTGTTGGTCTTCTGATGTTTTGGGACAAATGTTTTCTGGTATCAACATAAGACACGCGAATCCTAATCAGATGAACAATACAACTCCTACAAAAATCGTAAATCCAATAAAAAATCCTGAATTACCACCACCACCACCACCTCATTGGATCGAATCAATATATCATAGAAAAAAGTAAAAAGATTGGGAGCCCGATCAAAATCCACCTAACGAAAATGATTAAGTGAGAATCCAAAAATAATCAATAATGATGTAAAATTTATTTAGATGTCATATTATTTTTGATAATGATAATAAACAAGAAATTTAACGGAAATAAACTAAGATGCTTTGGATTATCTATATTTAATTTTTTAAGGGTGTTTATCATTGAAGAGGTGGTATTGTTATAATTAATGAATGAATTTCTACACCACCATGAATGCACAGATGGTTGATAGTGGACAAGGCACTGATTCGATGGTAAAAATCATAAACGTAACGACCACCAACACTCACTTGATATCGGTTGCCTTCAACTCGAATCTGCAAATTGAATGCACTATGTCCAAAAAATGGAAAATGTGTTAATTCTTTTTCCGGTTGACACCATTGTTTTTGTTGATAAGAATTTCGTAAAATTGCCTTGGAATCCATATAGATTTCCATATGAAATGGTACATTTGCGTTAGGATCTTCATAGGGATTGGAACCTTGATACAAGCTGATATCGAAACGATTACCTGTCACACGACCATCAATGGTGAATATCATTCCAATTTGAAGCCCTGAGTTGATTGGCAATAAAAGAGGAAGTTTTGGCCATTTCAAATCGTTCACAATATGACTATCCTCTGCTAAAGGATGGCTTACCATGGCAGGTGGTGGTTGTATAAAAATATTTTCGACTTCAAAATCACCTTCATAGCTTAGTAGACCAACGCTTTCGAATGGATGTCGATGAATGAATGTCACAAATTCATTATCATTTACATCAATTCGGTATTGCTTAGGTTCAGCTTCGATGCATAAACGAAAATTTTGATTTTGAAGTAGCGGCCTTGGTAACCGTCCTCTTGGTGTTCTTTCCTCTTGTCCCCAAGTTTTACCTGTTCTCGAATTCAGCAACGCATAGCCAGCAGATGGATGAACACAAAAATGCATAGCGATATCACCATTTTTAACTAGGTCTTCACTGACCACTGATGCACACCATAAATTGATTTCGAATCTCGATGCAGCCGGATTAACTTTACCTTCAATCCAAATTCGAGTGTTCTGTGTAAGTCCCTCATTCAGGCTGAGATAACGGCTTTTAGACTAAAATTACACGTAAGAATTATTAGAATCGATAATAAAAATTCAAAAAATTAACTTTTATACATTTTTGTTTGCTGGTAAAGTGACAACAGAATCGATGAGTTTTTTAGATTTTTTCAAAATGGAATCCATTTTATTCAATGAAATCAACAATGATTTTAAACAAATTCGTATCTGTTATAAAGGAAAAGAAAATTTCGACAATCAAAACAGAAATATTGCCAACAAAAAAATTGCCTTGAAAAGATGTATAAATGAGTCATATAACGGACTTTTGTTTACTAACAGCACTGATGTTACGCAATACAATGTCATAGATTTTTTTAAAAGAGTTGAACACACACGGGATTTTATTTTCAAAAAATTAATTAATTACAAATTATTTGAATAATCTTGATTTTGTTACGAAAATTACAGATATATTTCATATAGAAATTGAAAGAAATTATTTTATGAAAACACAATAGGCAACAATATTTATGTTTGTGGAAATATATCACATATTTTTTTCATTCCAAAAAAAATCTATCATTTTTTAAAATTAATAAATATGACTAAAATGTGAGAGAACAGAAAACAGAAATTAACACTTACAAAAAAAAACATTTGGAAACTAATTATAAAGATCAAAAATCTCTGCTCTGATAGAAAAGAATATAACCGGATTCACTGTTCTTTTGCGTATCACTGGTTAGTCCAAAAAAATCTTCAATAGTTGATGGATCAATTTTGTCGACAATATCATCATCAAAAAGTAGCCAAAATCCAAAGGATTTTACAATACTGATATAATGGCCACGATTCGGTCCAGTACCACAATGAATAACGACGGCAACTAGATCGTATAATCGATCACTGCTATCATCATTATTAGATTTGTTGAATAGCCGAAGTTCCAACGGAAAGACTACACGATACGATAATTTTGTATGACGATTTTGGCTTTCAGTATATTTGAAACGTTTCAAATGTAATGCTAATATCATTGGTAATTTTTTGATGCGCATTCTTTTCTGTGCTTCTTGTTTGGAACAACAATTTTCACAATAATATTTATGTTCGGAACTAAGAGTTTCGGTATTGGAGAACACACGCAAACATTGAGTTATCGATGTGTTTTGATCAACATCAACACTAAGATCGAGAAAATCTTCATCTTTTGATGATAATGATTCACAGTTGAGACATCTGGTTTCATTGGTTAACGTACCTTGAAAGATGTCATGAACCCATGTTTTCTGATTCTGGGCATTTTTGTTTTCAACATCCAACCCATTAAGCTGGTGTTCCGATGCTTTTTCTGCGCTCAACAAATCGGCAATTGTATTAAGAAGGTAATTAAGAAACTCATGGGCATCTTGCTGCATATAATTATCAAACACTTCATTTTCTTTACGTAATCTTGTAATGAATTTTTTCGGCGGTATTGTGCCAGTTTTTTTCTTTTGTGTAGCTATCGAATAAAATAAATCGGCCAAACATGTTAACAATGTTTCACGATTATTTCGTTTATTCTTGTTTTTATATTCCAGAACTTTATCTCGAAATGGTTTACAAAAGTATAGGGCTTGTAGTACCGAATTACAATAACAAGTATTGCCAAAATTAACCAAACCAAAATAATGTTCATTAGCCGGAAATTGATCATAGCCAATATCTTTTTCAAGTTGTGAAGCATTGTTACCCATCTTTGTGAATGATGGATATCATTTATTTGTCCTAAAGATTGAAAAAATAATATTTAGCAGTTTAGAAAGTCAAAATACGAAACAAATATAAATTCGAAGAGAATAATAATTTTTTTTGCCCATCGACGGTCAACTGTTAATACAATGTTAGTAGTTGATACGAGTTTGATCATCTTGGACGCTAGATGTCAATCGCTGTCGACTCAAAGACCGGTTGCTTTTCTTTGTATATTACTGATATCGATGTCTGTTTTGTAAATCGACTAAGGCATGCCACCTGGAAGTATGACGTGGTGTGTGACTGAAAGCTGTCGTTGTCGTCTTGATCGCCGAATAAAAACCCCCAAAAAGACAAACTAAATAAATAAATTCTCAAACTTGGTCACATTATTTTGATTGTAATCATTTCTCATTCACCGTTAACGACATTGAATTTAACAAAGATATTTTCCCATTATTTTGATTTTGACTACAAAGTTGAACAATGAATTTAATACGGCATATATTATTGGCATGTTTGTTCGTTTTGCCAATTCTTGCTCTATTCAATAATGGTATTTCCCGTTTTCATACACATAACAAAAGAGAATATTTAATTTTCATTTTATTTTAGCCAACAACTTCAATGTACAAGCTGTTGAAGATGATCCGGTTGAAGGAGAAGATTCCGATGTGAATGTTGAAACAGGTGATGTTATTAAAACCGAAGAAGAAGAAGATTCCACACTATCGGCTGAAGGATACAGAAATTCACCGGATGCCGATATAACTTACATGTTTACTAAACCTGTAGGAAATGGATTAGGTAATCAATTAGCTGATTATTTCTCATGAAATGATTTTTATAAGTATAATCGTTTATGAACACAGAATTGCCCGTAGGAAAAGAAGTTCATTTTTTGGTTGGTTTTATGAATAAAGGTCAAAAAGATTTCTTTGTCGACACAATGGATGCCTCGTTTAGATATTCTGCTGATTTCAGTTACTATTTGCAGAATGTATTTTCGTTTTTTTTCTAATTTTATTCAATTCATGCTAATTAATTTTTTATTTCAGTTCACAGCATTGGCTTACAATCGAATAGTCAAACCAAAACAAGAGGTCACTTTTAGCTATCAATTTTTTGTCAGTGAAGCCTATAGTCCTCGACCTTATGGATTGACCATCAATCTTTACTACCGAGATGCAGACAATATTCAATATTTGACTCCAGTTTTCAATGAAACTGTTAGCATTGTCGAATTGGATGAAGGATTAGATAGTGAAACTTTTTTCCTTTTCATCGTTTTGGGAGGTCTTGCTGTACTTGCTCTTATTGGAATGTATCAATTATTCCAATCTTATGGCGTAAGTATTCATTCATTTCAAATGATTATTCTTGGAAATTAATGTAAATATTTCTAGAAAAAACACATTCCAATGCCATCATCTTCGAAACCAAAATATGAAACTGGAACTTCCAACCATGAGGATGTTGATTATGATTGGCTTCCCAAGGAAACCATCAAACAATTAAGTAAGACAAATTCTTTTAAAAAAAACTTTATTCAATTTTATTTTTTTTTTTAATCAAGATAAATCACCTAATCCGGCCAAGCCAAGTTCACCACGACAAAGGAGGACGAAGAAAGAATGATGAGATGATTTCTTATTATAACTAAATAAATAAAAATTTTACATAAGCATTTTTTGTATGCATCTTTTTTTGATATATAAAAAGTAATTTTTATCCTCATTTAAAATTCGAATCAGTTTTGTTCTCGATAGCAAATATTTATAATGCCCTCTATGGCAATTTTTTAAAAACGATACTTGAGACATCGTGGGCTAACCATTTTTTTTTTTTTGTAAACAATGTCTTCCAATTCATCTTCAAATTTAAATGAAAATGATTTTAGCTCAGAATTCCAGAATATTGATCTCGAAGATGATGAAAAAAAGGAACAGTTAACACGACCAAGTGAATATTTAGATTATCTTTCCAAGCAATTAATGAATGATTATGCCAAATATTTTCAACTAAGGCCGACTGCTCAAGTGAGCTTTTAATCAGTAATGTGATAATTGGATTAATTTTTTGTGTCATTTTCCTTTCATAGATTGAAGAACTGGATGAATTGTTGGAAAATTTATTAACGCACATGGAAGAGTTTTATGGCCTTATCGAACAAATTCGAAATAATGGCAACCAATATCTGGATCAGTTTTCGATAATTTTATTTCCTAAAATCGAAGAATGTCGAAAATTATTCGCATTTATCGACAAATTGGAAAGAATCGTGAATCACGTTAGTATACAAGTATCATTGATGGAACGTGAAGTTAGTAAAGCCGAAAAAATGATGGGAGCCAAAACAAGTAAAGTGAAAAAATTGTTGTCCATTTTGACAAGTGGTAGCCAATCATCGGAATCACAATCAAAATTTCAATATATACCTCAAGACATTTTCAAAACTGAAGACTTGTTAAAAATGTGATATTAGTTATTACTTTTTTTTATTATTCTCAAAATCTACAATAAAAATGAATGAATGAATAAATGATTTTTTTTATGAATTCTATAAATCATCCGTATTGTTTATAGTAACTTTTTCGCCTGGTTTGAATGCTGGTAGGCCACGATACGGACAACTTTCACAACGGAATGCATCGCCCAGATAACAGTTTCCACACGAAGATTTAACATTTTGACTATTGGAACGAATTTTATCCATCTCTTCTTTTTCTAGTTCTTCTTTCAATCCACACGAACAATTGGCACATGCTTTTCTCTGTTTTGTCGTTGCACAGACACGCAAATCTTCAGCTTTTGGTTTCATTTTGTCTTGTTCGTCCAACAATTCATCATCATCGATCAGATCACCATCAGTAATTTCATCTGCAGCCAATGTCCAAATTTTTTGCGTATCAATTTTGACAGCCGAACCGATTTCATATTCGGGTTTATGTGCTATGATCAAATCTTGTTCAGTTTTATCCACCACAAATCCATTTGATTTTATTAGGAATGTCAAATTGGAAACCTGTTGAGATCTTACGATTACAAATGTTGATTTCGGTTTCAATAGTTTGTATAAATGCTTCAATTGTTCATCTGTAAATGACTGTTCTACAGTGAATATAGCGTCGTATGCTTCTACAGATCAAAAAAGATTTTGTGAATAAAATTAGACAATAAACGGTAAAATTTACCTTCCACGGATGGGAGATCGTTTATGGCTTTATTTGACTTGTTTTTGCAGCAAAAATTAGATACATAGGAATTTTTTAACAATTTCTCATCTAAAGATTGGTCCAAAGATAGAACAGTTAGACATTCTTTACAATCTGAAAAGTCCATCTTGGATAAAAGATTAAGATGAGCAAATATTAAAGGCGTAAATAAAATGGCAAGTCACGTTGGTCGTTTTGCTTCTCGTAAAGAACGTTATGCCATTGGAAAATAATATCGAATGAAATTCTTCAATAAATTCGTCAATAATGCAATTTACTTTATTCCGTAAAATACTGAAAAATGTTTATCTATCTGCTAAGATTTTTCATCACCCGAGAACATTCACCACCACTTGTGTCTATTTCAATCGTCAAACGTTCAATATCGGTGATTCCGTGCAGATTGAAAGATTTTTCACTCAGGATGATGTAGCCATTTTCGCTCGTTTAACACATGATGATAATCCCATTCATTTAGATGAAACGGTAGCAATTGAAAAAAATTTTGCTAAACCTATAGTTCATGGTGCTCTAATCAATGGGTAAATAATTTTATTGCAAAGGGTTAATCAATTCAGTTGATTGTTTTTTGTACAAAAGAGTCATATCTTCTATAATTGGAACTAAACTTCCGGGACATGGTAGCATCTTAATAGAACAAGATTTACATTTTCCTAATCCTTGTAAGTTTTTTGGCAAAATGATATCGATTATGTAATGAATTCATGTTTGCAGTATTTGTTGGCGAGAAATTTATCACCAAAGTAACGATTGCAGATCGCAAACGTAACATTTATTTCTGTCGATATGAATGTTTAACAATGGACAACAAGGTGATTTAATTTTTTCGTCTATCATAATTATTGTTGATCATCATATTTTTTTCAATAATCGTGTGTTACTAATTATTTTTTTTCAATCAACTTGTATGAATGGTTGCTATGTTTAAAAAAATTAGAAAGTAACGGAAGGCATGGCAAAAATATTGTTCCGTCCTTGAAATCAATAATCTACCATAACCAACATCATCCTACAACTGTTGAATTTTGCTGACAAAAAAAATGTCCAGAAGTATTTTTTTTGCTATCGACAAATTCTGGCGTAGGCTTGTTTTTGTTTCTAAGCATTTTTGAAACAAAAGAAATTATCATAAATGAACAGTTATAAGAAAGATATAATATGTTACAGTTATCATCATCAGTTGGTATGACGTTTCTAAACAACCCAACATCTTTGTTAATTGTTAGATACATTATATTATAAACATCATTTACGGTTATATTTTTACAAAAATTCTTAACATTTATAGCCCGGTATTTATCGCTATAAACAATATAAAGTTTAAATAACTCATGCTCAGTTGCATCAATCCTAAACAATATTCGTGATTTTTATTAAATAAAAAATACTAACGTTATTGGCAAACAACTGAAAACATTTTTTGCTTCTCACACAAGGTTTTTCCAGCATCATATAATGCTATAATTCAATTTCATCTATATCCCAACAATTTAACTTTTGCCATTATTGACGAATTTATAGGAAGTTTTTGATTATTTTTATCGTAATTTTTATCAGATATTTTTAAATGATGGATGTCGAATATTCAGCATCAGATTTTAAACAGAAATTATTTCATGTCGAAAATATTTTACGATCTACCGTGACTGATGAGAGGTATATTCCAAAGGCAGATAAATGGCGTGAAACAGACAGTTTCAGTACGTATACAAATTTTATAGATTGTCATGAAGTTTTTCCCAATATTATTATCGGAAACATGTAAGTTTTTTTTGTTTAACATATCTGTACATTTTTGTATTAATAAATGAATTTCCTGACAGTTATTCTGCTCGAGCAAAACCATTTCTGAGAGATATCGGTGTTACTCATGTCTTGAATTGTGCTCTAAATCAATGTTTGACATATAATGATACGAAATTCGATCAAGAATATTATGAAGATTTTCGGATCAAATTCAAAGGACTTGAACTGGATGATATATGCTCGGAAAACATTGCACGTTATTTTGATGAAGCAATTGAATTTATCGACGATGCCATGGCAAGCGGTGGTAAAGTTCTAGTACATTGTTTGGCTGGCATTAGTCGTTCGGCAACAATCACGATTGCTTATCTTATGAAACGGCATTCAATGACCATCGAAAATGCAATCAAAACAGTTAAACAAAACAGACGTATATATCCGAATGAAGGTTTTCTTAAACAATTGGTTGAATTAGATTTTAAACTACGAAAACGATCGGTCAATCGATAAACCGAAATTCCAATATCATTCTTTTTTCTTACTCAATTATTTTATGTTTTCAAACATTGATGAATTATCATTGTTTTTCTTTTCATGATTAGAACAATTCATTGTTTATTTTATGATCAATATTGATTCAAGTGACATATATACAATAAATAACAAACAAAATTTAAAAAAAGTAGTCAACTCAAAATTAAAAAAAAACTGAAATGTAATGTAAAATAATATCGATATGAACAATATTCACCGATAATGGTGAGTTTTCAGTTGATAAATGTTTCAGTATGAGCTGGCACCTAAAATGATGTTGGAGGGATCAAGAAATTTGTGACAATAGATAATTAAGAATAAAAATATGAGTAATCATCATTAATTCATCTATTGATGAGTGGTTGAGAATCACAGTCGAAATTGTTTATATGTGGAATAGGTTCGAGCTCAATATTGAGATTGTCTTGATTGCCACTGTTGTTACTGAATTGTTGAATATTAACGGAATCGACTACAACCGATGAGATATGGCCGTGATCAACATCAATATTCGAAGCAACTATTTCTTCATCATTTGATAGTGCCTCCTTTTTCTTGTTGTTTGGATTATCTATCTGCCTAAAATAATCTTGATGAGCTGTATTAGTGTTTTCTGTGAGAACAACCGAATTAATGTCAATTGTTGTCTCACTTGTTGGAGAATTAATTGATTGATCATTTAGATGATCATTGGAATGGCTTGTATTGATGACCACATTCGAAGGGGTGTTAATTGGGACTACCGGTGGTGGTTGTTGTTGAGTATTACGATGTTGCCTTCGTAACATTCGACGACAACGCCGTTGACGTCTATATCTTCGATATTGATCCATATAAGAATTACTTATTCCATTTACATCATGATATCCGCCCATAGTGGATGCATAGCTGGGCGGTGGTTCACGAAATAAAACTGAATGTTCTAATCGAAATAATGAGGCATCCAGATCACCGGAAGATGGAAATGGAAAATCCATATTTCTAAAAGAAACACGATTCGATACATTACTAGCCATAGTTGTACGATATTGTTCCAAATGTCTAAGGGCGATTAATTTACAGCCGCAGCTGATAGCAATCACAATCAATAGGCCACAAATAAGAGATCCAATTATAGCAGCAGTAATGACACTATTCTTTAAACATCGCATCTCGTCACTTCCATCATAACAATCGGCTGAACGATCACACGTCCTATGTATAATGGATTAATGAGAGGAATTCTTTAGTTGAATTAGTTTACTTACCAAATTGAAGGTATGCATCGGCCGTTTGTACATAGGAAACTACCTTTATCTGGTCGACATAATTCTAATGTACAATTTTTTTCATCTGAATAATCAGCGCACTGTACAATGCCATTACAACGTTCGTCTAGATCATAACATCCATCACCAGAAGCACACATAATTTTACCTTTACAATGATCAAAACAGTTCAATTCATCGGCACCGTTTGGACAATCAAGGATTCGATTACATCGATGAAGTTTCGGCTCATAACAATGACTCATTGAACCACATCTTATTTTCTTATCGGGACAATGATTACATTTCGTTTCATCGGAAAAATCTTGACAATCGGGAATACCATTACATAACAATGTAAGATTAATGCATTTGTTCGATGATTGAGGTGAAAGGCATCGAAACTGATTCGAATCACAGTATGTACAATTTAATTCATCTGAACTGTTCTCGCAGTCAATCTTATGATCACATCTTTTAGAGATGTGATAATAGCCCATTGAATCATCAGTGCCACATTTAATGAATTCTGAGGTTAAGTCACAAGACATTTCATCGGATCCATCACCACATTCGTCCTTGCTATTACACTTCCATTTTTTCGGAATACATTTGTCATTAAGGCAATGAAATTCATTTCCATAACATTGTGTAGTCGATTTAGGCGTTATAAAATATGAGAAATAAAATCCAACAGCATTATTTCTATTTGTGGTTGCATTGAATGTGACAGAGACAATATTGTTTTCGGAAATATAGACATTAGATGCACTGTGAATGGATTTACCGCAAAAATATCGATCCTTATTCAACGATTTAATTCGAAGATAATTTTCTGTGCAGCATCGTTTTGAATCGATAGAGTTTAGACAATACTTCGAGTGTTCATTTGGATTTTCTATGTCAAGCTCGTCAATGCTATCAAGAATAAATAAAATAAGATAAAATTCCGATAATTTAAGCAATAATACCTGATTGTTATGATTTCATCAGGAGATGTTCCAATGATCTTCCATTGACAAACGATTGGAACTTCATAACCGTTAGGATAGTGTGGGTTTTTGATGAAACCGTATTTAGTTGTAAGATTGACAATTGAACCACAAAGAAAATCGTTTTCGGGGAAAAGAGATTCTTCAATAAAAGTATTTTCATCCAATAATGAGAATTTTTTGAGCATTAATTTATCATTTGGTGTGGACGAATTCTTGTCAATAGCGAAAGCCGATTTGTCAAAAAAGATAAAGAATAATGTGGCGAGAACAATGAGATGATATAATAAGAACTTATTCAATATTTTTGAACGAATAATCGTTGAATGGAGAAAAAGTTGTTGATTTTCCATCGATGAAATTAGAATCAAGCTTCACGTCTGAAATCTTTAACGAAATACAGACGAACTGGAAAAAATCAATAACTGCAGGTTTTAAGCAAAAATATTTGACGACAACCAGATTGAAAACATTAGGATAGAAACGGCGAATGACGATCAATCAAATTGGAATGGAATATTGTTGGAAATGTTGTGAGCATATTCTTCTTGTTATCAACGTAAATAGTGAAATGACGGATTATGGTTGATTGCAAAAAATCTTAACATCCATCAGGGATTATTCTCAAAATCGTATCCAATTAAATTGAACATTAAAGAATAAATCAGAAATATTAATTTGGTAAATATCGAACTGTAGATCGAAAGAATTTTTCTTCTGTTTTCCAGTTAATTAATAATATAAGTAGTTTTTATAAGGCTTGTTATTATGTATGAAATGGATTATAATCGGATTTGTTGAAAATGATCGAATGATTGTTGTTTGACAATTTTATCAAAGAAAATTATATCGTCAATGAAGACTGTAAAATTTTTCAGTATACTTCCGTCATTTTATCAAAAAAAGGTAATCTTCTGATTGCAATCATCATATGATTCATAAAATCAATTGCTGTATGAAAAAAATGAATGCATATAAAACAATAATTTCGAATAAAATTGGTTGAAACTATTGTGGATCATTAATGATGATGAGAATTTTATAAATATAACAAAAGTCTTAATCACTCGTTGAAAGTTTGTTAGATAAAAAGAAAAACTTATTTTGATCAACAACATCATTCATCCAATCTAATTCAATGAAAACAAGAGAGATTTTCTCTCTTCCACCAAAGATTTCAATAATATATTATTCGTCTATATATATTTACCATTGTCAGTATATATGTGTTGATACATTGAGCTCTATAGAGTATGTAGGACATAGAGAGACTCGACAACAAACAAGCTCACAAAAAAAGATATAGTGGATTCATATGCACTGGATTTTCATTCTTTTTTTTGGTAATTACTAAACAAAATCTGGATTTTTTAAAACTATATATAATAAGGTCGTCGCACGCGATATATAAAATACGAAACGATTATTCTTGTAAACACACATTATGGTTTAGATTTTTTTATTATAACAATTTATAATTGATTTCAATTTTTTAGGAACATTCAACATCGCATAATCCATTTAACTGCATCAGATTTTAGAATTTTTGTTGTTGGTGTGATTAACTCAAGATTTCGATTTTGAATCCTTTGAATGACTATCACTTATGGATTCGTTTGAACTTAATGACTTTGATGATGAATTTTTCTGACTATGGGTTATTTCGTTTTCATTCATTTTCTCATTTGATGATTGTTGTTTTGATTCTGGTCGATCATCATTATCACATTTATCAACATTATCAATATCATTCTCGCAAAATGATATATTACTATGGAAAGACAAAATAGACGTACCAGAATTGCCAGTAGCTTCTTTTGTTTCATCAGCTATATTTTCTGATTCTTTAGATTTCGAAACAGAAATATTTGATTTACAAACTGGACATTTTTGTGATTTATCATTGTGTGAATCTTCTTTAATGAATCTTAAGGTCATTTGAAAATCCTGATCAGGAAGTATAAAAATGTTGACATTCTTTTTTTCCTCAGTAGTCTGTACCAAACGTTTTGAATCATTTTTTTGCTGTCCAAACACTTGTTGAATATTTGAAATTTTGAAATCATTATTTTCTCGATTGTTAGATGAATTTTGTGGCAATTGAAATTTAAATTGAATTGATTCCTGACTTCTTGTCGATGGTGAAAATGGTTCCTCTGATCGAGGTTTTTGATTGTCTGCTTCATTTTTGATCGATGCCATTTCAATGATTTAAGTTTCTCAAATTCAAACTTATTAATTTTTTTTCAAAACAATCTTTTAAATATAAAGTCAGAAAACAAAAAATTTAATTAATTTATCTCGAATTTTAATTCTTAAAAAAATAGAATAATTTAAATGTTCATTTAGTTTTATTCATTTTCATTTTAGTTTTTTGGCTTTTAATAGTTTTAGTTTTAGTTAAGCTGTTAACTGATTTCTTTTTTTCTAAATTTTTGTTCAAACTTTTCAATTTGACTATGGATTTTTTTGCTTTCAAACTTTTCAATTTGACTATGGATTTTCTTGCTTTCAAACTTTTTGATGATTCTTTTTTACTTCGTGATTTTCTTCGAAAAAACATTCCAAGTTTCGATTTAGAGAGTAATCTAGATTTTGATTTTCTATGCTTTTTGATTTTGGATGAAACTTTATTCACCATCATAGTTTTGGCAGGCGAAAGTCTTGATTTTGATCGATCTTTCTTTGATCGTTCTTTCTTGGATCTTTCTTTCTTGGATCTTTCTTTTTTAGATAGTTCTTTGTTAGATCTTTCTTTTTTTGATCTTTCTTTTTTTGATCTTTCTTTTTTTGATTTTTCTTTTTTTGATTTTTCTTTAGTTTTTGTCAACGATAATTGTGAAGCACCTTTTTTCTTTAGTTCACTCAATTTAGTATGACTTTTTGTTTTAATTTCATCTTTTATCAAATCAAATGATTTGATAATGTTTTGAACTTCATGCAACATTGGAATTTTAATAATCATTTTTTCGGAACTTTTTTCGGGCAATGAAAAACTTTTAGTTTCTGTTTTTATTGGTTTAATTTCACCCGTTGTTGTTGTTGTTGTTTTGGTTGTTTCACGTATAGATATTTTTAAATTTTTAGGTTTTGATTTAAGTTTTTTACGTGATGGCGTTTTACGTTTTGATTTTCGCTCTGGGGTTTTAGGTGTTATTTTTTTAGTTTTTTTCTGTGTTTTAGCAGGCTCTTTAACTAATGCTTGAACGTTCATTTGACAATCAGTATCCGGTAGTATGATAATATGAGAAAAATCACAAATAAATACCACCATCGAGCCTTTGTTTACTTCAACAATACAGCTTGATTTCATCAATTCTTCTTTTACTGATCCATCAGTGCTCGTTTGTCCCATATATAATCGTCCTTTTAGTTCCAATGTTGATGGTGAACCAAAAACAAAACCTCGATACATTTCACCAAAAACAAACACTTTTCCATTATCGTTTGCCATGATCATAATACTGTTTGGTGTTTCGCTTAATGTTCCAGTAATGAAATTATAATCATAAGCCAAAGTCAAATCATTGGCCAAATATTTTAACCAATCCAATTCACCATTGCTACGTCTAAAGCTGTATGGAATAATTTCATAAAAATAATCGATGATTATACCCGAAAATACACCCATTGGACGAATAAAAAGATGACCAATCTTGTAATATAGAATATATTCCAAAGAAGCTCCAATACTCATATGCGATACACTTCTTAGCGATATTTGACTTTCTCTTGTTTTCAAATAACAATAAGCATCTTGAATTGTTTCATTTGCTTCTTTGATCATATCTTGATTTCTATTCATTCCAATCATTTCAATTTTCGGTTGAGAAATTTGTTTCTTTAAATCTTTAGGCTGATCTTTAGACTGGTCTTTAGGCTGATCTTTAAACTGGTCTTTAGGCTGATCTTTAGGATGATCATTTTGTTGATCAGACTTCATTTTAGTTTCACTAACGAATGGATTTTTGAACAGTAACGAAGTATCCTGAATCCGATCCTCATTTGTAGCTTTTGACATTTTACGTACTTTCTAATCGAAAAGATTAATCAATCAATAACACTGCAGTGGCAACTATTTGCTGATTTTATATTTAGAAAAAAATTCCATAAAATTGAATTAAAATACATTTGTTTGGCCGGATAATTCAAAACAAAATAATGAAATGTTACATAAGTTTTTATTTAAAAAAACAATGAATTTGTCAAGACAAATGATAAAAATATAATTTTTTTTAGTTGATCAGATGGGTGGCGGTGGCCGAATCAATGACAAAGGTTTGAACAAATTTCTACAAAATATTGCACCATTAGGTAGTGGATAATCGATACAGATCAATGATTCTTTATCTTTATTTGTTAATGATTCGAAGGCTGATCGATATTCTTCATCAAATAAATCTGAAAAAAGATAAATGGTAAATTAAATTGATAAAAATCAGAATAATACAAAACATACCGACACTGAGTGCGGGTGGAACTTGTATCAAATTCAAAAACATCAATTCACGATACAAACTGTTCAAATTTTTCAAATCCATTCCGGGAATTTTTTTTAGTTTATTTCGTTCTGAAATCAAAAACTGTATCGGTTTAAACAAATCACGTTCTTTGATTAATTGAATCAATTGTTGACAAAGATTTTTAAAATCCAACAATTCTGGACTCAAAGTTTCGGATTCGGCATTTTTCATTTTTAACCATTGTTGATGTAACGGTATATTTTCATAAAATTTTTCATTATCCCACATACAAGTGACCCGAACATCCTTAAAACTATAGCCATATTGTTTCGATATCTATTGTAAAAATATATTGAATTTATAAGAATGTGGCAAAAAATCATTAATCGAATACAACCTTGATGATTTCAGCAGAATTTAAACTGGTTGCATACAATGCCAATTCATAAATATGTGATGGAAGATTTAATCGAGTAAAATACCAAACGAGATTCCAATAAACGATAGGATGATTATCAACAAATTTTGGCAAAATCAGACTGGAATAACTTTCTCCATTCAATATGTTTTCTAATTCTTTGCGCAATACTAATGGACTAAGATAAGGCACTGATATTGGATCCAATAAACGACCATTCGATGATTGTTGATTGTTTGTGCAACGATAATCCTGTTATTTGATGTGAAAAAAAATCCAAATCCACAAATAATTTACAACAATAATAAACAAACAAGATTTACCTTAATGTAAACAGTCAAAGATGGTACGAATGTTGTTTTACAGTGAATACAGCGGGTGTTGAGATTAGAATCGTCGGGTAGCCATTGAGACATAATTTCTTCATCATAAATGATTGATTGGCAACCACGACAAATTGTACAGGAGATCATTTCTACTGTCCAAATAATTTGACCGATTGTTGAAGATGATGATAAAGTTTCTTCGGTTTGAAATAATTCCAATGGATTTGTATAATACTCATTTAAAAGATGTTGATATCTTTCCATGTTGAACGAATTTTCGTCAAATTGATCTAATAAATTGTCTATTGAAAGATTTAAATTTTCATCATCATTTTTTAGACTTAAACGAGAAGCTACAGCATTCATCATATTAAATTTGACTGGAGAATTTATACTCGAAGTTCCTAATGAAAGTTTAAATTCATTAATTCTACCTCCAATCGATTTGACGGTTGAATAAAAATATTCGGATGGTGAACTCATTCCATAGTTTTGAAATTGTGATTTCATTGACATCATCTCATTTGCTGGGGTTGATGTATGGAATGTTTGCGGCAATGTTAATGATCGAGGTATTCGAGGAGGCGTCTGTAAAACATTATTATTCGATTTGGAATCTGTTTTCACAAACAATGAACCAATTTTGTTGAGATTTTTTTCAGAATCAGAAAGAGTTGAACGAGTAAAATCTAATAAAATGGAAATAATTTTCGAAATTAAAATGCATGATTTTCTACTTACTGTAACGAGATTTTGTAAAATTTTTTGCAATACGGTAACTGGATCGTAGTTTATCAGCAACAGGACTTTTGCTGAAATCCATGTTGACTAATGTTTCTTTCAATGGTGTTACGAATGAATTTGAAAAAATATTTCCTTCTGAAATATTAAAATTTTCTGAACCAGCTTTAGCCGATATTTCCGGAATAGATTCTTTTGGATTAATTTCTGGCTCAATTAGAATATGATCATTTTTTATAGTCTTTAAATTATCGAATATGCTAATAAAATCTTTTTGAATGATGTTTATATCAACATCACTTTTATATTTTTTCTGATGAAGGGCTAAATTAGATTTTGTAGTGGAGAGATCAATTCGATCGGAAATGAATAAAAATCCAGCACTTGGACAATGATCAACAATCATCACAGTTTGTTCATTCTTTTTCGAGAGAAGAGATTTTTTCGTTTTTTTTCTTAAAATATTTTCATTCAAATTTCCGATTAATGAATTTGAAGATTCATTAGCTATGTTAGTATTAATATATTTTATCTTGAAATGCATTGCAACTCGTATTACATTATAAAGTTTAATCCATCGAGATTTTCGATGACTAAAATCTCCATTATCGGTCGGCCAATTTCCGTCTAAAACAGCCTTGTTATAATAACCATAAGTGATTGCATTAAGTTTAACATTGTATTTATCCATATCCAAAAATATTTTGACTGCTAATGCAGGACGATTATGAATGCAACAAAGAATCATTAAGATACGATAACAAAATTCATCGGGAACAGAAAAATCCATCGTTTGCATACGTTTTAATGCCTGATATGCAATTGACAGCGGTTTGATGGATTTTTGATCAGATTTTTCGGACAAATTTTGCATTTGGATTAAAGTATAAGAAAATGCTGGGAAATGGATGAACCATAGGCTATAAGCATTTATAAGTAAACATTTAGCCCATTCACTGGCAGATTGAGATGATTGTTGAGCAATTCTTTGTGCTTTCAATATCTCATGCTTAGCTCTTCGAGCAAACATATAACATTGTAATTCTGAATCAAATTTTGCTTCAGTCATCGCCGATGAATCGGTACAATCGACAACTGAATTCATAATCGGATTTATATCAGGAAAGGTTTCATTTCCGGGAAATTTTGTTGCAAATCTTTTTTTTTTGAAATAAGATTTAAAAATATTTAAAAATGATAATACTCTATATAGAATTACACTTACTTTTGAAATAAATCTTTTTTAAATCGACCATCAAAAAATTTAGGTTCTTGATGAAAAGTTTCATTTATGAGAAATGGTAATGAAATGAACACTGTTTTCGATGATTTTCCAATGTCTTTGAAATTAATTAAATTCAATTTGGAAATTCTTTTCAGATTCATGCTTTCATATTTTTCTACTTTTTCAATACAATCATCAAAAAATGCCAGACTTATATCTTTATCGGATACTAACGAACGTTCTTCAATAAATTTGGTAAACATTTGTGTTTTTGTTAGTTGACTATAAAAACCTATATTTTCTGGATGTGCTTGAATAAAGCCCTCAAAATAGAACAATGTTGTTGGATCAGTAGCTCCGACTTTAGGTGCAGCCGTAATTGGTTTTAGATGACGTTGAAAATCTTTCATTATCGAAGCCATAAAATAAAGAAATGCTTCTTGAATTTCGATTTCTATTTGCTTGTCAAATTTTCTTTTCATATGTACATCACGTTCTTTGCTTTTAACACTTTGATCAATTTTTGCTGATATTTCTTCCAATTTTTCTTTGAGAAATTTCATATATTTTTTTGGCAATAGATCCAGATTGAGCATTCTTTTTGTATCGGATATATGAATAGCACGTGTATCCAAACTTATCGATATAACATCGGATGGTGGCTCAAAATAATCAAAATACTGTGAATAAATACCGACAATAAACGGTAATGGAGCATTGAGAACACCGGCTAAGCTTAATGGACACAAAGGAATATAAGGACAATTCCAATTGAATGGAAATATCATTGATACTAAAGCTTCAGCTATTTCCGTTAAAATACTTAAACGCAATGAATGGATTAATATCTTCTGTTCGGTTAACATGAATAACAATAAATAGAGACAATTATCGGATCCAAGATTTTGTAATAATTTTTTGAATGAAGCTCCATTTGAAGGAATGGGAAAATCATCGAAATTATGTGAAAAAAGTAGATCATCATTAGATGCACTTAGATTAACCATTATATTTGGACGATCAGGTGTTGGAAATGGAATGTTTTTCATAAAATGAAACACATAAAATTCAAGTGGAACGGTGGATGATTTACAAATAAAATTTTGATATATAAAATTCAAAAAACATTTAAACTGATCAAAAAATGGCCATTGAGATAAGATACATAATGATTTTATCCTTTGCAAACTTTTTTCATTCAATGCTTCAGCAATCTTTTCTTCATCTTTAGGGTCATCAACGAATTTAAGTTGTATTAGTTCATCATCGGTCAAAAAATTTGGCTCAATCTGTTCGTAATAATTCAATAAGGTTCCGTATATTTTCGTACAAACGCTTGTAGTCAATATGAATGTTGACAATGAAAGACCGATCGAATCATTTTTTGGCCAACATTCGATTGATGCACCCATCGGAAGACAAAACAAAGGCAAATTTTGTGGCAATGGATATTGTAGATTCTCTTCGTTTGGAAAACGATCGATGATAATCGGATTGTATAAAAGATGCGGAGGTCGATCCATACATTTTTTATAGCATAAATATGCATCAGATCTAAGTGCAAGATAGCCTTTATTTAAATTTTTTTCAATCATACAAAATGCATGTGGAGGAGATTCATTTTTACTTGTCAAAATGACACAAATATCGGAAACAACTAATTGATTGTAATGTGTCTTTTTTTTCGAACGTCTATACGTTAAATATACTTTTGTCGTACCCACTCGTTCGTTCAAATTTGCAGGAAATCCAGATGGCGTACGTTTTATCATTTTACATTCCGGACTCATTGTTTCACATTCAGGATGAAGAACACCGATATCCAATAATGGTGGTTTGTCACGACTACGTTTATAGCATATAAAAAATTTCGATCCATTAATACTACCATGATTAAGATTGGCTTCATGATCATATGGAGTTTTTTCAATACAATAATATCCTTGTGGTACTGGTTCATGATTGCTACGATTTATCACAGTTATGTCCGTTATTGGATCTAAAGTTGGCTGATATACTGATTCATAATGGCGATCAGTTTCATCAACGCCAGTAACAACAAAATAATCAGAAATTCGATTTTCACTCATTTTCTGGAATTCAGCAATGAAAGAAATAAAATTCAACGATTTGTATTCAAACAAAAATCAGAAGACATTATGGTGAATAAATACATTAATCTATTATCTCAATTTTTACAACAAAACGTATCGATTAGTCATTTCCCGAATGAAAACTTTAATATCATTTGATTAATAACAACAATACCGGCAAAATGATGACGATGATTAATAACATGAGAGTATTGGTAAATTTTGCCGATTAAAACATGGATTGCAATTTCATTGATTATTTTTTATTTCAATGAAATTCAATTATGTTTCGATGATAGTAAAAAAATGATTGACTTTATCTCTGTGTAATATTTAAAAATTTAATTGCTTTTACGGTCATAAATAAATAAATATTAAGATTAATTGATAATAGAAAAATCGTATATGAACCACACATCAACAAACGACGGCATCATCATCATCACGACCATATGTGTATGCAATGATATCGCGATATATCGATTGTCGACAATTTTCGATGGTTATCGATGATTATATTCCGTCAATGTTTTTTATATGCGTATTTTATATCCAGGAGCCTAAAAAATTATTTCAATTACAATTTCTTTCTGATAATTAATAATTTATTCATAAAAAAGTATTTTTTTTTAATGTTAGCTAATATTACTACTCAATCTTAAATTTCCGAAATCATAAAAAAATGAATTTCAATGTTACCGGAAACATGTTGGTAAAAATATTGAAAGTTTATTAGTTTAGTATCATAAAAAATTGTCATAATTGAATTATAATTGAAAATACTATTCTCATATTCTCACTTTTAATTGGTAAATATAAAATATTTTATTATAAAAGACTATTTGATTAGTTTATTTAATGAGAGCTTTGGAAAAAATGACCAAATTCGATTACGATTTTGATTGTTTCGAGGAGACCAAAATAATTTTTCATCTGGTTCTTTGGGAATAGGACCTTGTACTGGTAGATCTTCCATTTTAATCCGATCAGATTCTGATGGCTGTAATTTTTCGATGGCTATTTCGATCAAATCATTATGTTCCGATTCAAATTGCTGTTTGTAGATTAATAATTTTTCTTCAAGTATTGCAATCTTTTCTTTCCATTTAACATCATTCTCATTATTGTTAGAAGTTTCACCATGATTCAAACAGATAATATTATCTAATAATGATGAAATAATTTTTCTAATATTCTTATTCTCCATATCCAAATTGTTTAATTTTTTTCTTAGATCAACATTTTCTTCATTTTTTAATTCTATTTCATTTTTAAGAATTTTGATTTTTGTTCGAAGTTTATCTAGCTGAACAGTATTATTATGGATTTCATTTTTATGAAAAATAGCTGATTTTTCTATATTGATCTCTTTTTCCGGTTTTAAATCTGTGTGTAAAAAGAGAAAAAAATCCATTAATGTCTAATGACTAAATATGGTGAAAAAAAATATATCATCATACTCATTAATGAACGAGATAAATTATCATCATTTTTTATTGAGCTTAATCGATTATTTTCATTTTCAAGATATTTTATATATTGTTCAAGTTTACCATTCTCTTTTCTCCATAATTCATCAATATCTTCAATTTCTAATTGAAATTTTAATTGTTCATTTTTACGTTTTTGATGATCTTGTTGTAAATCATAAATTTGTTTATTTAATTTTTCCAATAATTTCAAACAATTATCACGTTGAACAGTTACATTTTCAAGATTTTCTAGCACACGTACTATACAAGGAATTAATATTTCAAATGTTTCAGCGCCAAATAATTGAATAAGTTTTTTAAAATGTTCACCAATTTCTGATGCTGATTCATAGATTGATTCAATCGAAATGGATAGATCAATGTTATCACAGAATTCTAATTCATTATCATTTGATTTTGTTAAATTTTGCATGGCTGATTTTATCATATTATTGTGATCACAGCTGAACGAAAGTAAAAAAAAACTATGTAAATCAATAACTTATTGATTTTTCATTACATGATTCTGGCTAATAATGATTAATGATGATTATATGTAGCTGAAAGAGAGAAAAAAAAACATAAATGGAAAATCACTGTTATGTTGCTCAATTATATTGCACACACATCTCTTCTGGAATCGATTCACAATAATTGACACACAAACACTCAAATAATAACAAATAAAAGCCTTGGAATGTATAATGTATTAAGCATTTGCCCAAATAAAGTTTGCAGCTGCGGCTTTTCAAAAATTCATCATTGAATGATTATTGCAATTTTTGTTTGTTGTGATTCTTTTTTTTCGCATTAATTTGATGAACAAACAAATGATGATGATTAATTTTTATTAATAGAATTAGCTATATAACGATTCACCAGAAATCCACAAGTGTTGCCAATGTTCGCTAAATGTGTCATGCATTTAATAAAAAAAAATAAATCGATTGAAAATCGATTGAGAAAAAGTAAATAAAAAACGATTTCACCATTGTCCATTTACAGTAACAATTACAACAATTTGACTGCGGTTACATAATTAGTTCTTTTTCCATTTTATTACATGAATTGATAATCAATTTCAAATGAAATTTAACAAATTTCTTTTTGTTACTGCGAAAAAAAATCGAAACGTATTTCATCATCATCATTCGAGATCAAAGATAAAACATGAAGTGAGAAAAAAAATGATGAGCGCACACACTTAATATTCCTCACATTGCTGTATACACAGTTTGTTGTTTACGAGTATTATTTTTACGAAAACAAAATATTTTTTTGATATGACATTTTCCAATTTTTTTTCATAGGAAAATTGAAAAAAAAACAGAAAATATCACAACAAACTGGTACATTTAAACTTTTTAATTGAATATAATTTTAAAAAATTGAAATGTTTAAATTTGAGAAATGAACGGAATATTATGCAAAATGTAATGAAAACATTGTTTTTTCTTCTTTTATTTATGTTGCTCAACAGTCTGTTTTGTTTACAATCAAAAAAAGAAAAAACTAAAGTAAATCCTAATGATCTTCATTCGATGATTTTGATCAAAACAAAAAAAAATGAAGAGAGTTGTTAAATCGGTACACCAAACTCCATAACCTTGAGGAAATCTCCATAATTACATGTATTTTTAAAATCATGCGTTTTTCATGACATTATCATTTTTCTTGTTCAATCAACAATATTACGTATTTTAAATGTTGATATTGTTACATTCATAATAAACAAAAATAAATGAAAAAAAAGTCAGTCGACAATCAGTTAATTTTTATTTGATTGTTTTAAGATTCTGAATATAACTCAATATTGACAATTATGAGATTCGTTTCGAATTTATTATCGACCATTCATTCTCATCATTTTAATCATCATCATCATCATCATTATCGTTTTGTGTATGAAAATATTTGTAAACGATTTTTACATTCGGCGTCATTAAGAATGACTACACAAGAAGTGGCAACTGCTCTTCGACCATTCATTTTTACTGTTCATCCAGATCGTTTTTGGAATCATCCTCAAGAAAAAAATACAAATGAAATATCATTGAAAAGATTAAATGAATTTTTAGGTGATAAAAATGATGGTAAAACAGCATCATCGACTGATGAAGAGACAATTACTTTCTATATTCTTAATAATGATGGTAAAATCAGATCAAATGAAAAATCTGCACAAAATAAATTTGAAAAAGTGAACATAAAATTAAATAGCAAAGAAAACATATCGACAACAGTGCACAGGTAAATTACATTAGTAAGAAATATGATTATATTTTTGTTTATTAAAAAAATAAACAAAGTTAATCAAATTTCATTCAATTTTCAATAGGATTTTATCACAATGTTCATTGCCAACCGATTATTTAAAAAAGATAAGTCAAGAACCTAATATAAAACGTAAGAACAATCTTACTGATAATAATAATACAAATTACAATAATATCGATGAATGGCCGACGTTTTATCGTCAACGTGATAATGAATATTTCTACAGTAAAGATATTTTTGATGATCTGGAAGCAGAATTATTTCGTTCAAAAATGGAAATCAATCTTCGTAGATGGTTAAAAGAAAATCATTTATTAGCGATGAGAAAACTTGAAGCTAGTCAACCGATACGTATCGAATTGACCAGACTTAAACAGGAATTAATTGATGAGCTTAAATTAATTAATCTTGAATGGAATTGTGATTGGACTGCCAGTCATATTCGCGGAGCTTTAAAAAATTTAAGCATTCTTTCCAAACAATATCCAGAAGATTTTAAAAAATTACATTCAAAAACAGTTGTGTTTAGCCGTCATAATGGTGTCAGTTTTAAAGGTCAGATTATGTTAAGCATCGAAGATGTACGTAATAATTGGCTATATTTGATTCGTTCTATCAAGAGTTACGATTTTTATGTACAAAATATTCCAAATGCTGAAAGAAAATTATCAGGTAATATCATAACGGATTGATAAAATTGTCATTTTGTTAATATTATATTTTCGTTTTACTCGTTAGTCCTTCTTTCAGATATCATTATTAAACATCCAGAATATAATCTTTGGAATGCTAAAAAATATTTCAATCAACTTGAACGATTAATTCGATCGATTCAATCCTACAAATGTGATCGAAATTTTCCTTCTATTTGGCCTGAATCATTGGCCGAACATAGACTTATAGTGGAATCCGATTCTGGGCCATTGATGTTATCGCCTACTGGCGATTTTATTGTACCAGCTTCCTGTCCTGTTTCTCTGTTAATCCAATTTATCACCGAAAACCTACATAAGGCAAATCGATTGATTGATAAAGAAGAATTTAATCAAGAACATGAACGTGTAATCAGAGAAAAATGTATTGAAACATTCCATATGAAACACTTTGACAAAGATGTTAATATTACACCCGAAAAAATGATTAATTTTTGTCACCGAATATTAGATGATAAAGAAGAATTTGAAAATTATCTAAAGAATGCTCATGTTCAAGTTTCTATGTATTACAGTGTCATGCATGATGGACAGATTTGTGTGCCATATAATTTCATCAAATGATCATCATTTTTATTTTTATTTTTTGTTAAAAATTGTTCAATTTATTATTAAAAATAACATTTCAATTCGAATTTAAATGTTTTCGAATTCAAAAACGACGTATCATTTTTTATTTTATAATTAGGCTTTGCGAGTACATGTGGCATTCATCCACTTTGAATTGTTTTTTTATTTAGTTTTTTTTTTAATGATTAGCACTTGTTTTCAATTATAATTTCGCTTTAATTTAATGACAATATGTTGGTGGATAAATTTATTTTATTGTCGAATTTTAGTTGATAAATTTGAATAAGAGCTTATAATTGCTAAGGAAGCAAGCGATTATCGATATTATAAATCGCGTAAGTGTAATCATAGTCATAAATTAATGTTTTAATGTTTTTGTTTCATAGTTTTCCATATTTGTGTGATACACTTGTGCTCAAACAATATTGGAAATCAGATCATTCAAAAAAAAAAGAATAAAATTGAAATGACTGATCTTATCCTATCGTTTATGATCTTTGTCGGCTCTATCCTATTCGTTATTCTTCTCATATTTTTAGGTTTGTTTTTATAGATGATTTTGATTCTAATAATGATTTATATTAATATCTATGTTTGATTTATTAGGATGGTATTGTGTTTGGAAATTTTTTCTATGTCGATTTCGATTGGTACGTGAATTGTTCAGGCTTAATGAACAACAACAACATCAAAGTCCAAATAGTTCCAATTCAAGATTACGTAATCAATCTGTCACCAAAGTTCGTCCCCCAAAAATTGACTGATTTCATCTGTCCAATTTTATCATGTGATTATTTTGATTTTATTGTCATTATTAATCAATTAATGAGGCAAAAAAATGGAAAAAAAAACATTTATTCATCATCGTTCTATTTTCGCTAATGGTGATATTAACATTACAAACAAAAATGTGATTGATTACGTGATTATTTAGAAAAAAAATGATACTAATTCTGTACTAAACGAATTGTAAAAATCTATCAACTCAACATACACACACACATTTCCTTAAATCCATTGTACAAACAAAATCTGATGCATTCTGTAATATATGGAGGATGAAATGATGAAATTCGTGATTCTCACTTGATATTTGAGATCATTGCAAAAAAACAAAACAGACTAGATCCATTATTATAAAAATATATAAAAATGATGACCAAAAACAAAATAAATTCTCATTCATTCTTTATATAAAATTTTCTAATAAAAAAATTTGCCATATTTTTTTCGCTTCAAAATTCATTGACGATGAAACCAAAAAAAATTATTGAATTTGAAACAAAAATAAACGAATTTCTTGTTGAATTCAAAAAAAATCCAACCGTTCGAAATGGAATTATCAATGGCAATGATTTAATTAAACTATCTTCTATTCGTCGTTTGATCCATTCGAAAAATCATTACAAACTCACCATTATGAAATATTTGTTTTATTTATCGATTATATTGATTTTATTGAATAACAGGTCAAATATCATGCAATTGTATCGATCGTATTCACAATCAAAATGTTTAATTCCTTTACCGGATATTTTACAAAATGCATTAGTTCCAGCTAATGATTGTAATTTTTGTATTAATCTTACACGAATTGATCGTGTTCATTCCATTAATCCGGAAATTTTTTCTCAAAGGTAATTTTTTTTTAAATAAATAATTTTCATGTGAAGACTAACTATGGTTGAAAAAAAGATATGCATACACAAAGGTTCCTGTAGTAATCACTGATGCTATGGTAAATTGGTCAGCTCCACACGTTTTTAATTTTGATTTTTTCAAACGACTTTATCACGATCATCATGATCATCGAAAACGAAAAAATTGTCAATTTTTTCCATATCGAACAGAATTTCGTTCGTTGGATGAAGTTTTTGAAATGCATCCTTTACGATCGAATTATACACCGGGAACAAAACCTTGGTATATTGGCTGGTAGGATTATGAAACAACATTGATAACAGAAAAAAATTTTAATCGATAATGTTATCAATTTTATAGGAGTAATTGTGACTATCGTATTGCTAATGAAATTCGTAGTCATTATACGAAGCCGTATTTTCTTCCTGCAAATTCAGAATCAATTCGTACCGATTGGATATTTATGGGAACGCCGGATTGTGGTGCACATATGCATGTAAGTAATTAAAAAAAACAGAAATAGTTTTGATAAATTTGTTTCGTTTTTTATTTAATTTTATTTTTAAATTGAAAAAAATGAAAGTTATAAAAATATTATTTTTGAAACAACCGTAATTAATTTCCGAAACATATAACCGGTCTATGATTTTGAATTGAAGTGAAAAATTTTTCAAAATATGTGATGATCAGGAGATAAAAATTAAAAAATAAATAAATAAATAAAATGACCATTTTCTGGAAAATCTACCACGATATTTCGTGATGAATTTTTTCCATTACCTTTACCTACCGCTAATAAAGTTGCTGCTATGATTATCGCCTTATATTTTTCCACCTATAGAAGATAATCGATTTATGAAACGATTTGATGAGAATAATCATTTTACTCCGATACCAAATCGGTAAAATTTTCATGATACTTTTTGGTTCAAATACAATCTATCATAGATTATTAGGGTCGAATTTGACATTGATTAATATTATTATCATTATAATTTTCTAAAATCTAAAGTGTTGCCATAAATGATTTGCATATATTGATTGATCGACTAAATTGGAAATAATAATGAAATTTCTATGTTGATTAAAATGATTCATTCCGTTTTTTCGAATATAAAGGGTTACACATGAAAGATTATAGATAGATATTTTTTTGAAGCAGTAGTTTCAAATTGTTTTGAATATTTTTTTTTGTGTAGATGTTTTGTTTTTTTCAATCAATCAATAATATCATTAATGAGGTAATTTTGGATTTCATTCGATCAATGAAATTTATTTATTTATTGTTTCTTTATTTTATTAAAAAGAAATATTTCGAAAAATTATTAACAATAGATTTTTATTTTATTCACTTCAATAATCCACGGTGAATCAATCATCAATCGAATGTACAATTATGAGTTTAACTATCCATATCATCATCAACGAAAAGCTATTGTCATCGAAATTGTTGCTTTCCATTTGCAATACATTTGAGTTGATGAATCATTCGAGTTAGTGAGAAAAAAAAATCATCCATTCATTTAATTTCATTTCAAAACAATAATAATTTTTGTGACCTTCATGCTCTTCTTTTTTTTGTCGCCCATTCCTCCCCTTCCTTTTTTTCTTTCCTTTTCCAAAGTTATGATTCAACCAAAGTTTTTTTTTACAAACCAATTTCATAGTTTTCATTTCATTTCATATTTACCATTCGTTACATTTGTTATTTCGCTGATCTCCTTTGTATACAAACACACACACAAGGAAGAAATTTTCAAAAAAATAATAATAATAGAAAGAAAAAAAAACTTACACACAAATCCTTTGACAACAAAGCAGATTGACTAACTTTCATTTTCATTTTGCTGCTTATAAGTCAATAAGTTAGTAATGGTGTGTGATGTAAAAATAAAAATAAAAAAAACAAAATACCTTTAATGAAAGGTATTCATGCATGAAATTATTCATTATTATTAATATTTTCAACAGGTATTTAAACATTTTTATTTCTGATATGGATGTTTAGGGATCATATTCATAGAATAGAATTGAAAAAACAGTGAAAAACAATCAAAAAAAGAAATGGTATTAACATTTTCTGAAAAAAACGGACATTTCGTGATCCGATCCAATCCGATTTGTTCTATTTTATTTTGATCTCTCAATAATGATAATTGAAAAAATGATAAATTTTTTTTCAAACAATATAAAAAAATGACCTTTTTCTTGTAAATTTTTCACACTAATCTTATTATCAAGTAAAATTGGAACGGAATTTTCATACAATGAGGAAAAAAATGGTGACAATTTTCAAAAAAAATGATAACAAAAAAAAAGTTTCATCTTATTTCATTGTAATGAAGATAAAAATAAATTTTTTACATCAAAAATCTCTTTTGAAAGAATATTGTATGAATGAACATCTTGAACTATCTAAATATCGGTTAGATTAGCCAGTTTATGAATGACAAAAAAAAAACTGGAAATCTGATTAAGAAAAAATGAAATCCATGTGAATAGATTCAAGAGATAAAATTGATCAAATTACTATTGATTGATTGATTAATTAATAAAAATAAAAAATTGCTCTATACAATTATAACATTCATATTTTCTTCACTTAATTTATTAACATTTATTAATTTTTATTTGTAATAAAATAAAAGTTTGTAATAATAATTATCATTATGATTAGTACAATTTTTTTAAATAATAACTTTGGGCAAAAATCGATTGTTATATTCGTATTTTAGTATAATAATTTTGTTTTTCAATTTGTTTTAAAACAAAATGTGATTTGTGCCTTGCATTTTTGTCTTTTCTGTGATTGAACTATTTTCTTCATTCTATTTCAAACTCTATTTCCTTGATTAGTTTGTTGAACACGATTTTATCAGTAGTACATGTGTGAAATTCAAATGAACATATAAAAATCGTAACCGTTATTTGATACCATTATTATGATTGATTTTTTCCTATTAAAAAAAATGTTTCCATTTGTATCTGATCCATTAATAATCTTTCAATTTTTTTTAGATTGATCATGTTGGTCGTCCATCATGGCAAGCACAGATTAAAGGAACGAAACGTTGGTTTCTTGAACCACCATTGGAATGTTATCCCGAATGTTTAGATTTAACAATAGATGTTAAACAAGGAGATATCAGTAAGTTTAATAATACATTTTCAATAATTAAAAACTTGTGAACAGTTAAGAATTAGAAACTTTTAGCGTTTCTATTCATCTATATTAAAATATGCATTCTGTTAAATGTATTTATTTTGAAATATCAAAAAGTCATATCTAGCTATATGAATTCCAATCTTTTTATTTTATTTTATTTTCACTTCATAATTATATAAGATTCATTAATTGGTCTAAATTGTTTTTGTTTCTCTGTTTTTTTCTCATATTTATTTATCCTTGATATAAAGTTGTATTGGACACAAATATATGGTATCATAAAACATTAATCATTGGCGATAAAATCAGCCTAACGATTGGAGCTGAATATGATTGAAATTGGTTTTTTAAACATTTCGTTCATATCATTAAATTATATTAAAGAATTGAGCTGCTCTCTAACATCAACGATTAATATATGATTAAATTTTGATTTGTTTTTATTCAATCTAAACAATAAATGAATAAAACAAATGATAACTGAATGATATTGTTTATATTTAATTCAATCAACAAATTTTACAATTTAAAATGCTATTGTTTTGTTGATTATGATTGAAAGCAATTCAGTTCAATCATCATCATTGATGAAAATAAAGAAATGAAGAAAAAACCAGAAAAAAATTGATGCTAAATGCCTAAATAACTACTTGAACTATATTCAATTCCTTCTCCTTTTCTCCGGTTGTTTGTCATTGTTGTTTATCTTCATTTTTGTTTTTTTCCATTTTGTAGTATTACATATTAGACAATAAGCACCTATATATTTTGTGAAGATTTGTGATTTTGAACAAAAAAAAATAAAAATAAATTGTCAAAAGAGAGGTGAGTTATCCATTGAATAATGTGAAAAGGGATTTTTTCATCCAGTCATTCATCCCTTTAATTTTAGGATATGAACTCGTTACAGGTTGAAAGTCGATGTTCTCAATCATCATCATCATCATCATCTGCTGAAACGAAGATGATAACTGCGTGCATACCATTCACACACACACATATAAATACACATTTGCATTTGCCATCTTTGTCAATAAGTTTTAAATAAAAATAATTAATGAATGAATAAAACTTTGTTTTTTTATTACAGGATATATAAAAATAACAAAAATGGAAAACTTTTTTTTAAAAAAGAGAAAAAATGAAGGAATTTCTAAAACGATGATGGCAGCTTAAAAAAAATCAAAAATAGTTTTTACGATGATAGTTTTCATTCAATTTTTCGATTACAAGATTAACATCAATTGATTGATTGATTTGATCGATCGATTTGATGATCAATCGGATTCGATACGACATTCGTGAAGAAAGAGAATTTTCAAACAGGAAAAATAAATTCATTAATATCCGATATCAATAATAAAAAAAAACCAAAATTCATTTGGATTATCATAATTAGACAATATCATCCAAATACAGTGATGATGATGCTGATTAAATGGCTAAAAATGATGAGCAACAACAAATTCTTTTCTGGCCATCATCGGTATATTTAAACATCGATAGATATATTTAGTTGGCCATTTATTTATAAATAATGTGTTCATTAGAAATGTTTTTTTTTCAAATTAATGACTTATAACCATCATAAACATGACTTTATTCACTCACTTTTCTATTAATTCAATCATTTGTGTGTTTGTTTGAATTGTTTCAAGACAAGCAGCAATTGTTATTCGTTTGATTAACCTGTTGTTGAACAAGGTGTGTTTGTGTTTGGCACATTCACATTCCACAAAAAAAAACATTATCATCATCGAACAATATTTAAAAACAGATCGAATGGAAACAGAAAAAAATTTAACCAGATTCTTAAGTTTAATATAATCATCATCATTTGGATTGTAAATAATTCAAGTACTAATCATCATTATCATTATTATTATTATGATTTGTAGATGAAATCAACATCTGACGTTTCTAAACTTTATGAGTTTTTTTTCCGTTCGTTCGTTCGAATGATGTTCATGTGTTTCTGTAACTGATATAAATATTCGAACTGACAAACAGATTAAAATTGAATGGTGGCGTAGATAAAAATTAAAATAGAGATCGAACATTCGGTATGTTCGAATCCAAACACTGTTTTTTGTTTTGTTTGTTTTATACAAACACAATGCATTTATGAATATATTTTTTCCGTATTTCAAGCTACCACAACAATTTTCAAGCTTGATCGATTTGTCTTTTTTTTTCAGTGACTTTATTATCGAAACATCACCTTCAGTTTCTAATATGATCGAACCAACACACCACAAATACCACAAAACACTTCATATTAGACAACAGGTTGCCAACATTTTACATTATAATGTGCTATTAATGTATAAATACTGATATTTAGCCATTAAGAATTAAGAGTCTTGTCCTTTATATTTTTTTTTGAAACAGCAGTGTTTTCTTTAGTATTATTTTAATATTCGTCGTCATCCATTTCAATGATTTATATATTCACAGCTATAATGAAACAAATCACAAGTTGAAGAATGTATGAGAAAAAAAAAGGTAGTCCCTTTCTTTCAATATCTAGTCCAGTCACAATAATGCTATTCATGTGGTGGCTATGTTCTTGAATGAATGAATGAATGGAAAAAAATCTACATTTTATTGATTCACTTTTTTTTCAAGTTAGTTTATTTGATCCAATCGTATAGTTTAAGTTTGAAATTATTTTCTAGTTGATTTTTTTTCTATCCATCCATCTATTTTGCATCGCATTTGTCGTTTTATTGTTCGCATTCCTTTTGGCTCTTATCTTCTCAATGATGAATTGAAAAAAGAGACTCGTTTTTTTTAGATTTTCGGTGGTCTGGCTTGTTCACATTTTTTATTCACCTATTTTATTTAATACACGGTGTCGGCAACTGCAACAGCAACGACGGCCACTGATTTGGCTCGAGACTCTTATGTACTCGGTTCGTCTTCCTCTTTTTTTTCCAATCCATCTTAGCCATCATCATCATCATCATCATCATAATCATCAAGCCATCTTTCAAAGTTTCAACGGAGTGGATGTTTTTGTTGTTGTTGCCGTTGATAATAATGATGACTGAATAGGCAAAAAAAACATGCCTTAAGTTTTTACGAATAACGAGAAAAAAGTCAAAGAGAGTCCAGTTCGAGATACAGAACACACACATAACACATACATACATAGTACTCTTTGTCCTCGATATATCGTTAGTTTTAGTTTTTTTCGAAATGTGAAACGTATTAGTGCCGAAAATATGTATGGCTGTTGTATTTTTACGAAGTGATTCACTATGAGTGAGTAAACGTGAATGAAAAAAACTCATCTTGTAAGTTTTTTTTATTTCATTCGATACCTCGGTTACCTTTCAAGTTTGGGCAATCGACATCGTATCGACCATCACTACTGCATCTAGATTTAGCATCAATGATCTATGATGCCCGATTATAATACGTCAACATCATCATCGTCATTACTTAACGAATGATCGGCTTTTTCTGATATTGGAATGATGATCAAAACTACCTTGTGTTGATGTATCGTACATTTCAGCAACCAAAATATTTTTTCTCCTTTCAAATCTTTTTAGTTTGGTGCGAAAGTTTGTGTGTGCGTGCATGTATACAACATCCATTTTTGATCATTGGTATTTTTTATTTGATTGGTCAAATTAATAGGCTCTTTGGAACTTGTTTTTTTTTCTCCAAAAAAGTGGTGGAGAATGACGATGTTGATGATAATCAGTGTTTAGTGTTTGGTTATCATCGATTGGCCCACATTTTTTTTTGCTATTCGCAAATTTTTATCAGATCAACTTATGTGTTGTTTACATTGTTTTTTGCAATCAATCTAAATGTTTATTTTTTTCTAATCAATCAATAAGTTGATGAATTTCTTCCATACATCATTGTGATTGTATTATAAGAAATCATTCTTCACTGATCAAACTGATATTGGTTAACATCATCAACAACAAAAAACTGCTGAAATTATGGCAACAAAAATAGTTGAATACGATAGAATTGATGAAAATGAAATCTATCCACCATTACCTCGTTTGAAATGTTCATCATTTAAACAACAAAGATTATATCGCAAAAATTATTGTTGTGGAATTATTTTGCTAATTCTATGTGCCACAAACATCGAAGCTAATTTCGATGAAATAGACATAATCCTCACTGAAAATCTACCATGTTTAGGTGATTGGAGATATCCATCAAATTGTTCGGGTTTTAATTGTGATTATAAAGCCACTTGGCAATATATGGATGATAGTGATGAAATTATCTTTACTATCAGTACTAAGAATCGCAATAAATGGACTGGTATTGGATTTTCTGACAATCCATACATGTCAAACAGTGATGCTGTACTTGGTCTCGTCGAAGAAAGGTATTTGATTAGATTTTCATTAGAAATTAAGATTATAACAATAGAAAATTTTTTCCAGTGGAAGATTTTTCCTAATGGATAGCTTTTTACTTGCTTATGAAGCACCACCATTAGATTATCAACAAAATCTTTATAACATGAGTGCATGGCGTGAAAATGGTTTAACAACATTACGATTTTCGCGTCCAAGACAAACAGGAGATGCTAGAGATTATCAATTTAGCGATACCGATTGTCCTTATTTCATGTTTCCTGTTATGGGTGGAGTGTTCAATGCTGTAAATAAACGAATAAGAAAACATGAAAGTACGCCTGTTATTTCGGAAGAAAGAATTTGTGTTCATAGTTGCCGAAAATCGTCGCCAACAATTTCGACAATGACAACAACAACAATGAGGACCACTTCAACAACATCTTTTTCACCATCATCAACTTCTAATCAACAGGATAAGAATAATAAAGATTTATCGATTCATCTTGCTCAACCCGGGAATGATTTGAATACCGTTGAAGACAAAATGATCAAAATTTATCAAGCTGAATTAAAATTCTTGAATTTAATCGACAATAATAAACCACCGACAAATGATGTGCTTAAAATGGTCGAAAAAGAACTACATCGTGAATTGAAATCATATTTCGATCGAATCGAAAAAATTGAGATTAATGAATTGAAAATGGATCCAAAAAACAACGTTGCAATTATTGATTTATCGATTTCAAAAAACGATAAAAATGAAAAAGAAGATATTCGAGCTTTGACATCAGCGCTCAATTCTGTTATAAAAGATGGTCAAATTGGACGATGGAATATCGATATTAATCATTTAGTGGTTACACCAAAAGAAGACAATACAAATAGATGGATGAGTATGTTTTTCACTTTGATTTTAGCGCTCAAATCTATTTAATTTTTTAAAAACTTTTTTAAATAAGATATATTATTGGCCAGTTTTAATCGCTTTAGTGAAGAAGAACAAAGATGGATAATCATTGGAGCTGGATTATCAGCACTGTTATTGTTGGCTTTGATACAATTATTGTGTATGTTTTGTAGTTGTGGTTGTGGATGTGGATGTCGCAAAAACGATTCGGAACAAGAAGATTATTTAGAAGAAAAGGTAAGTTTCGGAGCAAAAGAAAATGTGAAGATGATAAGATTTTTTTTTATATTCAAATAAATTTAGGATGATAAACAATGGGCTCATGATCATTATCAATCTTCAATGTTCAATGGTCTTTATAATGTAGATGATCCTTATGGGTATCAAGCTAAATCCAATAGTCTACATAAAAATTATCGTGGCCACAGTGTTGGCGATCAAGATCCACGTTCGGTGCAACCATATACGAATGGTCATCATTCATCATATAACCATCAAAGTTTGGACCGAAGACATTATCAAGAACAACAACATACGCGAAGGCAACAGGTCCCAATGGGCTATGAGATGAATGAACGACAACATCATCATCATCATCATCATAACCATGCTGGTCGACAAGGACAAAATGGCCAACATTCACATCTGCAGCCAGATTTTTATTTCATGCCACATCAACGAAAATATTCGTCGGATGTTGTTCGTGTTTTTGTTGATTACGATGGAAACTAACTTATCGATCGATCAATCTAATCACGATAATCATGAATTATTATTTTTTTTTTCACCAGTCAAATCATCATTTTTGCTCTTTGAGTTCCATCATTTTTTCCAACACACTCATCATCATTTATTATCATCATTATCATCAATTTTTTCCCTGTACAAAATAGCAATTATTTTTTAAAAAGTTTTTTTATTTTTTTCGATTACAATGTGCCATTGTCGGAAAAAACTTGACAATATTTGTAAATAAGATTTTTTGAAGAAGAATAAAAGCCATATGAGTAATAATAATAATAAAATAAAATGCAAATTTATTGATCAATAATTATGGTATTAGTTAGAGTTAATTGTTGTGCATCATTCAACTTCCTTATTGGCTCTTTTTTCATTACCGATCGATTCAAATCAATAATACAATCTTCAAGTATTAAATGTCCAGATTTTAAAAAAATTAATTGATCTAACTGATGTATGGCTTTGATAGTAACATTAGATATTTTCAACTTTCCGGGAACATTAACAAATATGAATAAATCTCCGCAATCATGGCTTGAACAAATCTTTACATCTGGTTCGATACCATATATTTCTAAATTTTTTTCAATCCAAGATAATTCCTGAACATGATTTCCGGCACATAAATAGATGCTATCGCCTGATTTCGAACGGTTCAATGCTTTTTGAAATGTATCATGCAATTTAACTTTTAATTTTGTTTTTTCTTCCTATGAAAATAATAATTTCAACATCAAAATAAAAAATTCTAATCAGGTTAATCGGCTTACCGTAAGAAAAGAGCTCAATTTTTTAATAGCTTTTGACAATGATTCAAAATCAGAGTTCGAAACAAGATGTAAAACTCTTTCATCATCAGTTTCATCAAATTCCTCGGCCACAAATTCGTCGTAAAGGTTACGTAATTCAGGATTTTCAATGAATCGCATCGCGCGTTGATATTTTTCCAATTTGATTGTCAATCGCCAATATTCTAAGGGATCTATTTCATTGAAATAATTATCCTCTTGATTAATTTCTCCTTTTTCCTGTTTTTCCGAAATCGATTTTAATTTATTCATTGATTCTTTAATTGATTGGGCTTCAGAAATAATCTTCTCATAACGACAAATAATTTTCTTATCAATGACATTATTTTTGACATCAAAAACGAAATTCAAACGAGGAATAAATCTATTAGTTAAGAATATTTCATCATGATATCGATCATCAACATCATCCCATGGTCGCCATAAGTTGAGGTAAAAGAAGCGATAAATTTCAATAATGTAAGCAGTTTTGTAGAAGAATTTTTCTTCATCATCCTCTGATATAACAAATAATTCGATCAAAGGTACTTTTCGTTCGCCAAGTTGAACGATATCATTATTCATTGATAAGTCTGCGTCATCATCATCATCATTATTGTTGATTTGGTTTGATATTCGTTTCATGATCAAAACCGAAGCTTCCATAGATTCAAAAACATTTGTAACTTTCACTAAAAAACGGGTATGATGATAAAATTCATTCGACGACGGAATCCAAATAGCTGTCCATCCAATGGGTTCGATATTTTCGGTTATATAATTTGAGAATGCATCAAATACAGAATCAATGGAAATTTCTTGGAGAATTTCTTCATAAATTTTTTCCAAATCAGCTCGAAGAAATTTGAATTTATAAATTTCATATTTTTGCTTTTCTTCTTCCAAACTATCCGTATCACAACCGGAATCGATAAGTATTGATGACATTATTGGTTAAAAGTTTTTTTTTTGATATCAAACAAATGAAGAACCGTTGGTAACAAATTCAGGCGCGAAAAATTCAGCAACTCTGTCATACACAGCATTTGTGAATAAGGTCAAGAGCTCGGGCATGCCGATTTTTATTATTTTCTCATCAAATGACAATTTAAAAAATTTCTTTTATTATTTCAAATTTTCCCGAAAATGGAGTCGATGGATACTGCCGATAACCTGGATGATCTCCTTCACAAGGCCGAACAATTAACGGCCATAATTGATGGAAACATTGAAATGCCTCGTATCGAAAGAAATTTGAAACAATTATTGGAAGCAAGTGATCAAATGTATACCAGAACAACTACATCATCGGCAAAAGATGCTAACGATGTACGTGCTTCAGTATTGCTTGGCTCAAAGGGATTTGATTTACAAAAAGTCAGTCAACAATTGGAATCGCTGAATCAGATGAAAAAACCGATTCAAATCGAAACTGAAACCGATTCTGACATTCAAGGATTTCTCAAAAAAGAATATGAAAATGCTATTGTTAAAAATATTGAAAATGTTCGATCATCTACCATTGAAATTTCGGATAAATTTTATTTGAATTATATACAAAAAGAGTGGAATGACCAGAAAACCCGTATTTTGAACGCTTTAGTCGGTCCTGATGAGATAAAAGATATGAACTTTGATCTTACGATTGATTCTTTAAATGTTCGAACCTCTCCACATCAACAATCACCGCAAAGAACCAAATTATATTTCGACAAAACATTCATTGATAAATCTTCAATATCATCCATGAATGCGTCAGAGATGGCATTCGCTCAAGAAGTGGTTAAATATGTTGATCAAGTGGTCAATACATCGATTCGAACTGATCTTACTGAAACATTTTGTACTGTGGCTCGAAACATAATTGGAGAAAGCTTGGTGATTGATCTTTGGTCAATGGTTTCTTCGCTTCTTTCATCAAATATACCCGAAATAGCACAAAAAGATCCGTTGATGCGAAGACAAAATTTTAAATTGAATCTTCATTTTCTCAACAAATCTTGTCATTATCTAGAACAAAAATTTATTCAAACCATGCAAGGAATTGTCAATGATCCCATAGGCCAAAATATTTCTAGCGATGTAATTTACAGATTAGTCAAGGATTATTTGAATATCAAGACTCCATTCTATTCTAGCAATTCATCATTCAATCTTGGTATTTCATCAAAAGATGTTTGGGAAGACGGTACGGTTGATGGTATTCCGGTTTGGTGTTTCGTTTTTTATTGTCTTCGTGCTGGTTCAATCGATGCTGCAATTCAAGTAGCGCAAAAAATATCAAATCATTCATTGAAAAATGAACTGACCAATATATTACGTGATTACAAAGTAAGCCATGACGGATATTTGAGTCGTAAAACGGAAGAAGCTCTTCGACTGACTTATCAAAAAAGTGTTCGTCTTAGCAACGATGTATTCAAGAAATCCGTCTATTCTATATTTGCTCGATGTGCGCACGATGAATTTGATCCGCAAATATTCGACAAAGTTGATGATTTTTTATGGATCAAATTGAAGAAAGTTTCGTTCAACGATTCAGAAAATGAACAATTTTTAACCACATCCATAACCACTTCTGCTGATCAATTTGATTTATGTAAATTTAAAAAAGAAATCATTGAAGAATTGGGTGAAAATTATTTCGAAGCTCAAGAGCAACCTTTTCTTTATTTTCGAGCTTTATTTTTGACACTACAATGGGAAGCAGCTATCGAATTTTTATTCCGTTTCGATGCATATCGTTGTTATGCATTACATATAGCGTTGGCTTTACATGAAAAAAATTTGATTGTTCCATCACAACATATAAAATTGTCTATATTGTCTCGATCGCCAAATGATCCGGTTGATATTCAACGATTAAATTTGGCAAAATTGATCAGTATTTATACGAAAAAATTCGAAATAACCAACACAATTGATGTTGTGTACTATTATTATTTTCTTCATAATATTCATACACCATCGGAAGAATCGTTATTCAATTCCTATGTTTCACAATTAGTTCGTGAAACGAAAAATTATGATTTACTATTAGGTTATATCAGTACTGAAGGTGTTCGTGTTCCCGGAGCTATAGATAAATTTAATCAAGATGTCAGTGTCATCATAACAAAAGTTGCCATTGATTTGGAAAAAGATGGATATTTTGAAGATGCTGTTCAATTATATGATTTGGCTGGAAATCATTCGAAAGTTTTGTCATTACTTAACAAAATGCTTAGTCCATTGGTTGCACAACAAAAAAATGTTGATTCCAAACGTAATCGTATTGAAGAATTTGCTATACGAATTGCTGAACGGTATAATTTAATAATGTTTTTTTTCTCGATAATATTGATCAAATTGAATTTTTTTTCCAAATTAAATCATTGTTAGGTATTGTAATCAAAAATGTAATGCATCAAAAGAATTGAAATCTACATTTTATTTGCTGATTGATTTAATGACATTTTTCGATTATTATCATAATCAACAATATAATGAAGCATTAGATGTAAGTATCTACTGTATTTTAAATGATACGTTTTGTTTTGATCGTAATTATTATTATTATATTTAGACAATTATAAAATTGAACATATTTCCATTGCGACCATCAGAAATTGATGGTAAAGTCAATGACTTTACAAATTATCCGGATGAAATTCGACGAAACATACCAGATCTATTATTGGCAACAATGGACATTCTATGTGCTCAGTACAAAGAAATCAAGTAAGTTTTTTCCCCCCATTATCTTAAAGGTAATCAATTGGTTTTTATTTCCAAAGAAATTCTATCCCTAAAATAATCAATAAATTTGGATTTCTTGGCGATGCTTCAAATAAAGAACAGGTGAATAACATATTATTTTTTCATTCAAATTTTTGAATATTTTGAATCTCATCTCATTTTTCTATGCATTTTTTCAAAATAGCTTTGCATCGAATTACGAGAGAAGGCAAAATCTCTGATTACTTTTGCTGGAATGGTACCATATCGTATGCCTGGCGATGTTAATGCCAAATTAATTCAATTAGAATCATCTATGACATGAATTATTTGAACAAAAAAAAATAAAAGATTTTTCTTTACATTAAAATTGAATAATATTTTTTTCCTTATTTTTGACTGAATTATTATTGATTGATTTGAACCGGCATTTAATTTTCGAAAAAAAAGAAGCTTTTTTAACACATGTGTGTACGGCTAAAAACACCCAAATGATGTCGCAAGTCACGCTTTATTTTTTTCAAATGGGTACCACACCACACACTCACGCATGCATCTTCTTAATGTCCTTTACATTATATATAAAATGTGTGTGTGTGTGTGTGTTCTGTCGTTAATTCTCTTGTTGTTTCTGAACGTTTTCGGTGTGGAATTGTTATTCTCCTGAATGTGTGTTTTTGTCCATTTTTAGTTCCATATACATTTTTTTTAATTCTACAATTTGTTTTTTCTCATTGCGAGAAAAAATAATTTTTTTATTTTGTTTTTGATAAATAAATATTTCTTATGGTTATTTTTTGAAAAACATAAATTACCATCATCAATCAATTCAAACCCTGTATGTTCGCAGCTTTTGACGCAAAAAAAAAAGATTAAAACTGTCGTCCGCTAACCGCTTTTTATTCATCTTTTTTTTTGAATTTGACAGATTTTTTTCCTAATAATTCTATTTTTAATTACGCCACGCCTTTCATTCATAAATTATTTTAATTTCCTATTTCCTTTAATTTTTATTCGAAAATTTTTTAGTCTAAATTTTTTTTTTGTTGTTGTCTTAATTCAGGTATCCATAGCACGCCGAGCAACTTTTTTCAATGTCTGTGAATACACCAACATCGTCTTCATCACAAGTGCTTCCTCCACGTGAGGCCTCTTTATTCAAAAAGATCCTAAAACATTTTAAAGATAAACAATTCAAAAATGGCTTGAAAATATGCAATCAAATATTGTCGAATCCGAAATTTGCCGAACATGGCGAAACCCTTTCGATGAAAGGTTTGATTTTAAATTCGATGGGCAAAAAACAAGAAGCGCTTGAATATGTACGAAAAGGATTGAAAAATGATGTCAAATCGCATGTTTGTTGGCATGTATTTGGTTTGCTACAAAAAGCCGATCATAAATATGAAGAGGCCATCAAATGTTACCGTAATGCCTTAAGATGGAAAAAAGATTCCGTCCAAATTTTATCGGACTTGAGTCTCGTTCAAATTCAGACCAGAGATTTAGAAGGATATAGAGATTCACGTTATCAATTATTTTCACTTCGACCAGGTGAAAGGTCAACATGGATTGGTTGTGCTATGGCCTATCATTTGACTGGCGATCATATGACTGCGGTGAATATTCTAACTGAATATCAAAAATCTTCATCCACTGGTAATAATGCTCGTAATCGAAATAGTCGCCGTCAAAACAATGAAATCTATGAACATTCGGAATTGTTGCTTTATCATGTTTTTATTCTGTTGGAATGTAATCGATTTGATGAGGCATTAACATTACTGGATTCTCATGAGAACGACATTGTCGATAAAGTATCGTATTTCGAATACAAATGTCAAATTTATTTGGCACTTGAACGATTTGAAGATGCTCAATGTATTCTTTTAAGACAATTGATTGATCGTAATCCTGAAAATGCCACTTATTTTGCATTGCTTGAACAGGCAAAACAAATAAACTCCGATGACGAAACCCAAAGGTTACAACTTTATGAAGAAATGGCCAAGTTATATCCTCGTTCGCAAACTGTGACGCGTATTCCTTTGAATTTTGTCACCATAGTTGATGTATTTCGAACAAAAATTGATGCTTATCTGAAAAAAGGTTTCCGTAAAGGACAGCCGGCATTATTTCGTGATCTAAAAAATCTTTATCAAAAAGAATTGAAAAATTGCCACTCATCGTTTCCCGGCACGAAATTGGATACATCTTTGAACACAAATATTACTCGTCAAGAATTAACTGCACTGATTAAAAGCCATCGAACGATTCGTTTGTCACCAAAGATTGAAGTTATCGAAAACCTATTGCTTGATTATGCAGAAAATTTGTTGACTCGTTGTACATTTGATGGACAATCTGAAGATGAAGAATCGGCTACATGTCTGCTATGGGTTTATTATTTTCTTGCTCAGCATTTTGATGTGCTCAAAGAATTCACCATAGCGTTACATTTTGCCAATCTTGCATTGGTTCATACACCAACTTTGATCGACATATTTGTTATCAAGGCTAAAATATTCAAACATGCTGGCCTATTGGAGAAAGCGGTGAAATGTTTGGATGAAGCACAAAGTTTAGACACTTCAGACAGATATTTGAATTCAAAATGTGCTAAATATCTTATTCGAGTAAACAAAATCAAAGAAGCCGAAGATATGTGTTTAAAATTTACTCGTGAAGGTGTTTCCGCTGCCGAAAATCTAAATGAAATGCAATGTATGTGGTTTCAAAACGAAGTGGCCAAAGCATACAAACGTATGGGCATGTGGGGATCAGCATTGCTCAAATGTATCCAAATCGACAATCATTTTGCTGAAATCAGTGAAGATCAATTTGATTTCAATACATATTGTATATTAAAAGTGACACTACGAGCCTATGTCAAAATGATTAGGCTCGAGGATCAAATCAAATCACATCGATTCTTTATTAATGCTGCACAAACAGCAATCGAAATTTATTTGAGGTATGTATTGAATTAATTTTTTCTTTTTAATTGTTACATTGTTATTATTTGAATATTTCTCAAATTGACAGGTTATATGATAATCCAATTGATAGTAAATCGGAAGCAGATAGTGATATTAATTCTAATCTTTCGGCATCCGAATTGCGGAAAATGCGTAATAAACAACGAAAAGCAATGCTCAAAGCTACTGCAGAAAAAGAACAAAATGATAAGTTGCAGAAAAAAGCTAATGCCAAAAAAGATAGCGAATTCAAAACCGAGGAAACCGAATTTATTGATCCGATAAAATTGGAAAAAACTGAAGATCCCCTTCAAGATGCTGCACGTTTTTTAAATCCGGTTAAAATATTTGGTGGAGAATCGGAAGAAATTCATACGCTCACTTTTGAAGTCTATTTTCGTAAAGGGAAATTACTTCTGCAATTACTATGTTTGAAAAGAGCTTATCGTATTTGTTCGCCTAGCTCGAGATTCTATCCTTTATTATTAGGTCAAACATCATTGTTTTTGAATTATTTGATTTCGTTGAAAGAACAATTGAATGAATCAATACGTGCTGTACTTTTGCAAGAGCTGCCAACTATCGAAGTTTTTAAATTGAAAAAACATCTCAAAGGTGATTCAATTGATATATTTACTGAACTGCCTACTGTTGAACATTTTATTGGTCAGTATCTGCCTCCAGATTCAGAATCATTTTTGATTCGTGTGGAACATATAAAAGTCAAAAATTTATTGTCAAAGTTTGATCATTCAATGCCAAACGTAGCGAATAGTTTGCCAAATGGAAAGCCAGAATCAGTTATGGCATCTGCAGAGATCGAAATGGCTTTATCCCGTTTAATCGCTGATTTAGTGAAATTATCCGGTTTATCGTTGGAAAGTTGTACTGAGTTTTTTCATTCGATTAAAAATAATGAATTTGGCCAGATACCGAATGATGAGGTGGAAAATTTACGTGAAAAATTACATTCTTTATATCCTTTTGCATCTTGTTTTATGAATGAAAAACAATTGGAAAATCTAGAGAATGAATTATCAGCAAGTGATTATTTTACGGCTGAACCAGAAGAATATAATTGTAATGTCAATGATGAGAATTAAGATGTATGAAATTATATTTCAAATATTTATATATATGAAAATGATGATGAGTATATATAAGTATGAATAAAAATACACACACAAAACAAATGAAAAAATTCTAGTGATTAATCGTTTTATTTACTAATATTATTATTATTATTATTATTTCAATTCTTATAATTTTGTCAAACTTATTAATCAAATACAATATTTTCAATTTTCAATAATAAAAAAAACAAACTAATATTTTATTCGAAAAATATCAGATGACGCTACCAGTGTGTTTTTCTATTTTTTTTCGTAGTAGTGGTCTTTTGATCACAACATTCGATTCATTCGTGAATGCATGTCTGAATTAATGGAAGGAATTATCATCAAATGCTTGTGTATATGTGTGGTGTGTGTGTTTTGGCCTTTTAATTTTTTGCTCTTAAATTTTTTTTCTCCACTATATATATCCGGCAATAATGATATAATTGTAACCAATCATTTATCATTAACTAATTTTTTTAAAATCATTTTTTCAAACACAAATGATGAAATGAAGGTAAGCAATAATGTTGTGTAATTGAGAATAACTGTTATTGGTATCAAAAAACAAACGATCAACAAGAATATTCAACATCATTCGATACGTGATTTTTTGTAACGATTGTTTTCATCTTGATCGTTTTCGACATCTTTTTTGTACGATAGTTTACGAAATATATGAGTGAAATATCCTTAGAACAACAACAATAATAATAATAAAGATTGGATATTTTTGATCTTGAACTGAACTCTTTATTGCTTTTGAATTATTTAGAAAAAACTGTAAATCGATGTATGTGTATACACAATTTCTTTCAGTTAGATAGCAATAACTTTGAGCAAATATTGTACGCGTGTATTGTATTTTCTTTTTTTTTTTTTTTTTGGTAACAAATGTATCATATGTGTTATTTTTTGTTCATTGAGAATATCAAAAAAATCGAATCTTTTCAAGTCTTTTCAAGTTGTTTATAACGAATTAAAAATTCTGACAATTTTGGAACTTGATCAGCGAGTTTTTTTTAATTCTTTATGTGTACTTGTTGCCATGCCAGCCAAGTATACTTATTCTGTTTATTCAAAAAAATTGAAAAAAATAAATGACATAATTTTGTTTAAATTTTGCTAAATATTAACAATTTATTTATTTGTTTACCTCTTCGATATTACTCATTAAAAACAATTTTTCATTTTTTTCCAGTTGTAATAATTCATTTTTACGGAAAAAAGACGAATCACACTCTGTTTATGAAATAAAATTTAAATAATAAAAAAATTTCACTAATTTAATGATAAAAACATAATTTTCATTCAAAATTGCTGCTATATTCTATTCGATGAAAATTCATTCAAGTAAATAGAATAAATTTAAAAAAACAGCGAAAATGATGGAAGACAATCCCAACGCAGGTAAGTGATGATTCAAATATATTTTTGTATAAATGAAGAAAAAATTGTTTCGGTTGATGATTGTTTTTAGATATTTGCCGAGTTTGCCGTTGCGAAGGCACACCAGAAAAACCATTATATCATCCATGCATATGTACGGGCAGCATAAAATTCATTCATCAAGAATGGTAAGAATCGTATCGAATTTTTTCATTATTTGATTTTTTTTTGAAAATTATTTCCAAAATATAGTCTAGTTCAATGGCTTCGTTATAGCGATAAAGAATTCTGTGAACTATGTAATCACAGATTTTCTTTTATTCCAAGTAAGCAAATTGAATAATTGATTTTAAAAATGATAAAAATTTACAAATTTTAATTTTTTTCCCGAATAAAGTATATTCACCTGATATGCCGAAAAGATTACCCATTAAAGATATTATGAGCGTATTGCTTAGATGTCTTTATACGGCAGCACGTTATTGGTTCCAATACACACTGGTTGCTGTTGCTTGGCTTGGTTTAATTCCGTTAACTGCTTGTATGTTTAATCGAAATATGAAAATCTTTTTATGATTCTTACTTTCAATTATTATAGATCGGATTTACATGTTTTTATTTAATTATTCATGGAGCGACGTCATGAATTTTACTGTTGAATTTTACAAAATTGAAACACTATTCTCTGATGGATTTTATGGTTGCTGCGTTGTTATGTGTACGCTTTGTGCATTTATATTTATATTATGGTTACGTGAACAGATAATTCGAGTTGGAGCTCCTGATTGGCTTGAAAGGCCTTTCGAACGAAATGCTTTTGTCCGGTTGTTGATGCGTGATCAAAATTTCGAACCTAATGCAAATAACGATGAAGAAAATGATAGCGATGACGAAGAAGACGATGACGACGACGATGATGATGATGATGAAGGTGAGGATGAGGATCATGATGATGAAGTTGACAATGATGAAGGTGAAGATGAAGAAGTTGTGGACGGAGAAGTAGCTGAAATCAACAATAACACTGATAATAATCTATTGATTGAAAATGATGCTATTAATGACAATGAAAATGAAAACCTGCCGGTAGCAGTGGTTCAAAATGCCGGGCCAGCCAACAACCCTGCTGGCATTCCTGAAGCAAGAAATGGTTTGCAACCAGGTCGTGCTCGCTTGCCTGGAGCCCAAAACAATAATAATAATAATAATAATAACAATAATCCGGTTGTAGCTCAAGATTGGAATCCTGTAATAGAATGGGATCGGGGAGGTGAAGATATTACTTGGGAAAGAGTATTCGGTTTGGACGGTACATTTGCATTTTTGGAAAATGTTTTCTGGGTGATAACTTTAAATACTTTATTTATATTGGGATTTGCATTTTTCCCCTATCATATCGGCAACATACTATTCAAACGCATGAATGTCGAAATGATTGTGTCACCACATTTCGACCGTTTCATCATCATTTTTATGGGCTACATTATGATTGGTGCAATTTTGTTCCTAATGCATATGGTCACATCATTGACACAATTTAATCGAATTCAACGTTTTTTTGGCTTCTGTTATATCATCATCAAAGTTGCTCTGTTGGTAACTCTGGAAATCGGACTATTTCCTACTTTAATCGGATGGTGGCTTGACATTTGTTCGTTACCTTTATTCGACAGTACACTTATGAATCGTATTGAAAATTTTTTCGCATCACCTGGTACATCTCTTTTTATTCATTGGCTGGTTGGATTATTTTGCATTTTTTATTTTGTCTCTTTCATAATTATGGTGAAAGAAATTGTTCGTCCTGGACTTTTGTGGTTTGTTCGAAATCTTAATGATCCGAACTTCAATCCCATCAATGAAATGATTAATTTATCGATATTTTCGCACATCAAAAGATGTGTCTACAGTTTAATCGTATTTGGTACGACTATTTTGCTAATGATTTATCTACCGATTTGTTTGATCCAGAATTTGATGCCAAAATTTTTGCCATATAATAATATTTCCAGCAAGTAAGTTTGTCAACGATGTTTTAATCTTGTACACATATATAATTTTTATATAATTTTTAATCCTAGTGATTCGCCATTCACTGAATTATTGATTGAACTTTTTTTGTTTCAACTGGTTTTACCTGCTTTGATCGACCATAATGATCATAATAATTCAAGAAAATTTATCAAATTGATGATACGAGGATGGTGTCAAGTAATGGCATATTTATTGGATTTGAAGAGCTATTTGTTAGGTGATAACAACAACCTTAATAATAATGACAATAACAACGAGAACAACGATCAAGTTAACGAAGACAACATCGATGAGGCATCTAGTCATAATCAAATGTATCGAAAGCCGAATCTATTTTATTTACGTGTGACATTTTTGGTAGTAGCTTTTTGGGCTACATTGTTATTCTTCGGGGCTTTCACATTAACCGTGCCTGTTTTGTTAGGTCGAGCATTGATCAACTTTTATTTTGGTGATATTCGAGTCAATGAATTCAATACTGCTGCATGCGGAATATATGCCATTGTCATATTCATACAAGTGACCAGCGTTGTAGTGCGCGGAATTTCACGTGGTTGGACACAAATTATCACCAAGATAACCGAATGGATACCTATTATTTGTAAATTGACAGTTGCTGCATTTCTTTTATTGGGATTGATACCTTTGTTGATTGGACTCTTATTTGAAGTAGTTCTTCTTTTACCTTTACGAGTTCCATTGGGACAAACACCTGTTTTCTATCTTTATCAAGATTGGGCATTCGGAGTATTGCTGACCAATGTTATATGCGCTATTACGATGATGACCGATTTCCAATTTAAGGAAACTTTAGAACAGGTAAAATTCATAATTTGATTTTTGTTAATAAAATTTTAATTATGATTTACAGGTTTACAACAATGGTTTGGCTAACATAAATCTTCGTGTAATATTATTTGATCTGGCATTTCCCAATATTTCTATTATCGGTTTAATATTGGCCCTGCCATACGTAATTGTTAACACATTGTTCCCGCTGTTTGGAGCTTCAATTGAGCTTCAAAATTTAGTAAATCGTCGAATACATTCCATTTTGTTTATCATTGCACTTTTATTCTTTCTGATAAAATATCAAATCAACAAATTCACGAGATTTTATGAACACATACGAAACGATAAATATTTAGTTGGAAGACGTCTTGTCAATTATGAACCAAACAACCGAAATATGGTTCCAACTTCCAAGTGATTTACATTTTATAGACAAAAATTGATGAAGATTGTATCTTGTGTTATGATTCTTTAGTGTTGGAAATAATACTCTACAATTTATTCAAGAAAAATTTTGTAGAGAAATCTTCGTCAAGAGAATCTTTACATCATTTTCAAATAAGAACTTATTCGCAATTTGGTCATGAATTGTTGATGTTTTTTCCATCTTTTTTTAACAATGAAAGTTGATTATTGAATGTTTAAATCATTTATCATTTCAAATGATATATATCGCGCTATAACTGTAAATTTGTATTATATTTTTCTAAACATTAAAAATTAAACTTTCCTTTATGTGAAAAAAATGATGTTTATTTAATTACAGTAATATAAATCAAATAAATTAACAATCTATTGAACAAGATTAGATCGTGAATGAGGATGTGTTCTAAGGCCAGCAATTCCTTTGACATTTGTATCGGTTTTAGCTCGTTGAATTTTTCTCAATTTGTTGGGCATTCCTTTGCGATATTGAACCATTTGTTCTAAATCAATAATATAAATATAACCTGCTATAAGAACTTCAATAAAAAGTTCTTTTTGTTGGAAAGCGTTTTCAATTTCTTTTGATGTTTGTTCATCATAAAGCCACCATCCATTATGGCCTTCGTAAAACCAATGATAATCATTATCGAGATGGGTGTTTTCTGAAATGGATTCCGTTTGAACCAATTGAGGATTATTAAGAAATGATAGTGATATATGTTGACGACATAATGGACATTTTTGATTATGTAAAATAGAACCTTTTGCACATAAAAAACAAAATATCTGATCAAAAAAAAAAATTTAATAAATTCATTTTAATAATTAGATTTTACGTTTTCTAAATACTTACATGGTTACATGGAAGTTTTATTGGATGACTAGGTTTATTCCGACAAACTGGACATGGTTCTAAATCAGACATTTTTTCATAATAATTTTAAAACTTATGAACTAAATCCTTTTATTTAAATGGAAAATGGAAATTTAGATTGCGTATTTATACGCTCAGAAAAATACTCAAAAATCAATTGTTTATAAGTTATAAGTCCATCCGCAGAAGACGTTTTTCATTGATGCCATGAGTTTATACACGGGCCCGCCAAAAAAAAACTTTGTCCATTGTCGAATGAGGTTGTATTCAGAAAAATATTAATAAATGGCTTCAATATCATTATCTTCACAACAAATAAATGATTTACAAGCTGATCAAGATGATCAGGTTTTATTCAATGAAGTTGTGGCAACTTTGAACGATCTTGGCCATTACAATCGTTTAACTAATAAATATCAATTGAATCTAAATGATCATGGAGTTTGTCTTCGAGATCTTATCCGTTTTCTACGAAATGATGGACAAAATTTTCTTGTTCGACGTCAGATGGGTATTTCGAATATTGTCGACAATGATCTTTTGCCGATTATTGAGCAACATACTCTCACCGATGATTGTCGGATTGATGAATCGGGTAAATCATTAATGGACAAAATAATTCGTTTGTTGGTCGATTTAACAAATCCCACTGTTTTGCATTATCCCGATCAAAAAATTCCAAAAGATGATAAATATGAAATGAATATCTATATAGAATTGCAAGCCTTTTTATTTCAGTATAAACTATCATTCTCAACACGAAAACGTTTCTGGATTGTAATATCGAAATTTTTGGCCAGAATTTTAGAATTAGATCCTGATAATCGCCAAGTGGAAGATGAATTAATGATGGAACGTATTATAATATTGATTCGTAATGTTTTACATATACCAATTATATCGCGTAGCAATCAAATCGATGATTTGAATGTACATGATCGCATTGTTGAACATATCAGTGATTGTGGTCTGTTGGATATTTTGCAGTTCATGATTAATAGCGGAGAATATGGACAATATTGTTTTCATTTATTGGAGATTATTTTTTTGATTTTTCGCGAACAAAATGCTGAATTTTTAGCCAAAAGTGTTGGAAGTGATCGACAAAATGTTCAACATCAAACTTCATCCAATTCAACATTAAGTAATGTTTCGCGTAGTCAATATGAACGTGAAATTGATGATCGTGAATTTGAAGAAGCTCGTATTAGAGATCGTAAAGAACATGAACAAATGTTGGCCAAATTTAAAAATGATGATTTTACACGCTTTAAAGAAACTGCTTTTGTTGTAAAAAACATGAAAGCCGTATCCGATCGTGATATGATATGTTATCGTGCTTATTCAAATCCGGAAAAGGCTATGGATTTTAATACAAATAAAATTGCTCAACGCCGTCCACGTAATCGAAGACCAATGAATGAATCGGTTGGAAACAGTGATTCGTTTGGTGCGCAACGTATTCATCGTTCAAGTAGACAACTTCGATCTATTTTATATGATTTTTGTTCAAAATTTCTGAACGAATCGTATAATAAATTTATGGCAGAAATTCGTTCGAATCTAAGTCGCGGAACATCACAAGAACATGATGAAACTTATTTCTTTTGGGCATGTCAATTTTTCATGGAATTTAATCGTTATCAGATAGACATTGATAGAGAACAAAGATATCAACAAGTGTATGAAACATTATCAACCAGTATGTTTCATTATATTCAGACAGTTGTTGATAATTACATGGAACATTTGCTTTTGAAAAAAGAATTCAAAAATGAACTCAGTGATTGGTCCAAACGTCTACATCAAGCATTACGATCGTATAGAGAATTACTTTTTTCATTATCATATATCGAATCATTGAATTTACCAGCAGCAAGTAAAATGTGTTACCGTATTAAGACCGATATTTTTACTGAGCCTGAATATCGAGAAATGTTATTGCGACTGATGCAAGCTTATAATGAAGAGAAAATGTCCAAAGCATATCTACGAGATTTAATTGAAACAAATCATATGTTTTTGAAAATGTTAGAATATCATGCTAAAATAAGTTTGGATTTCAAAGTTAAAGTTAAAAAACGTAAATCATCAAAACGTAAGAAAAAATCTAAAAATCCGGATGATGATAATGATGAAAAAAAGAAAGAGGAAAATGTTTATTCATCACCAGATATAATTTGGATTGAAATCATAGATGATGTTAGCGAAGCATTAAATTCTGAACTGATTGCAGAAACTATATTGGATGAAGAGTTATTGAAAAGATTATTCGATCCGCTCTCGGATCAGCCGGTGGATGAACAAAAATTATCGATTCTTCGAATGATTCAAAAATTTTTACGTGAAAAAGAGGTTAAAAAAGCTATCAGTCTATATCGCGAAGCTCGTAATGCTTTTGCCGGTTTAGATGAAGATAATGTGTTTGGTGAGGTTGGTATTCAAATAGACGATGAAATGTTGGCTTTGAATGGAATTTTGATGACGGAATTTCCTGTGGATAAACAACAAGAAAAATTGAAGCCAGAAAATGATGATGATGAACCGATGAGTGATGAAGCTGAAGATTCAGTTGTTATACAAGAGAAAAAATTCTCCATCGATGAAACATTAATGCGATATGCTCATCCAAATGTTGTTCGAGCTTGTCGAATATTATTGAAAAATTATCGTACAAACTCTTTGGCTACTAATCATGCTATAGTCCGAATGTTATATCGTTTAGCAGTTAATCTTAAAATGAAGCCAATGTTTTATAATCTAAATTTTTTTATAATATTTGAACAAATTATGGATGATCCATTGTTGAAAAATGTTAATGATAAAAATTGTCCCCATTACAAATCTATCTGTGAATTGGTTAGATTTTCTTATTATATTATACGAAGTTTTTTCAAACTTTTATCCAAACATCCTAAAATTGCCAGTGAAATTTGTTTTACTGTTAATAGTCGTGAAGCTTATCAAATGGAATATGGTTTTGATAATGAAATTGTTGGACAAATGATTCGCGAAAAAAAAGGTTCCGGCTGGAACGAACAACAAAAACTTGAATTGGAAATACTTTACAAAGAATATAAAGATAAAACAACAAAAGAAAAAGATGTTATCGATCTAATTCAAGAAAATTTGATCGATGATAGTAAATCTCGTCGACAAATTATTGTTCAATTGAAAAAAATGGTTTGTATTTTATGTTTGAAATTGCAAATATTTTCATTTTTTAATCTCATTTTTTTCTCTCATTATTTGTATAATTTATATTAGGATATATTATCAGCAAATGATATGAAAAAGAATTCATATAAAGGTCCAGCATGGTCGCTCGAAGAGTTAGAAGAATTGAATAATCTTTATGAAAAATTCAAAGATAATTTGGAATTGGAAGAAGAAAATGTTGATAAGCAACAAGAAACAATTTTGACTACCATGATTGAGAAAAGCATCGTTAACAATGATACACAACCAGAACACGAATCCAATGATGGTGAATCGGATAACAATCATGAAATAAATCAATCTATGAATTGTATACCAAAACAAAAAAGAAAACGTTTAGATATCATTGATTGTATTCTTAAACATTTGTCCACATCTACTCAACGTAATCGTCGACAGATAATTCGTCAATTAAGAATATCGGTTTGTTTTAGTTATTATTATAATTTAAAATTAATTATTATCATTTTTACATGCAGAAAATATATGATCATTCGGCAAGAAACAAATCTTCGAAAATTGGGCATGAAATTAATGAACATAATTCAAGTTCAGAAGAAGAAGATTATGATGATGAATCACAAAAGAATTCTATCAATGATGATGAGGTTGTTATCCAATATGACGATGATGACGAAGATAATGAACAAATTCAACCAATGTCAACCGAATTAGAAACTGTCAATATGAATGGTCAACCTGGAATGGTCAAAAATTCTTCTTCTAGCAATAATGAATATGATTCCGATAGTGATAAAGAAAAACGACAGACGAATACAGACTTTAAAAAAGATGATGATAACATAAGTATCAAAAGATCTAAAATTTCGTTTAAAAAAATTCTTCTGGATTCAGACAGTGACATGGAAGATGTTTCTGACATAACTTTTAATCATGAAGAATCATCCGTTGTGTTGGACGAAAATAATCCATCTACAATGGCCAAAACTATTCTATCAAAACGAAAAATCATTGAATCCGATGATGAAAATGAAAATGAACTTTTTGATTCTGAATTGATGGAAAAAGATGTGAAAAAGAAACGTCGATTTTTTATTCAAGATGATGATGATGAAGAATAATTTGAATGTTCTTATAATTTATTTTTACAATAAATAAATAAATGTTCGAATAATAATAAAATTGAATAGAACAAGATTGTTCGATTTTTTTTCATAAGTTCGATTCTCTTTCGATAAAACTTGTACATTTTTTATTGCTTATTGCTATTTAGCCATTGCCATTATCATACATTTACAATCAACGACTTTCTTCTTACTCGAAATGCCACACAGCGGGAGTAAGTTTTATATAGATGATAGTGTTGTGACTGCTGATACCTTGATGTCCTTGACGATCGGCTTTTGTAGCCAAATAGCATATAGCGCTTTGCATTGACTTGTATATCAACTTGATGGTTATTGTCTTTGATCGTCTGCAATACATTTTGAGATTGTTACCATGGTTTTTTTTCTATATATCTTCAACGTAGAATCGGATCGTGCTACTTCTTTCGAATTTTTTTCCAATATTTACCTCGACTACGTAAATTTATCCAATGATCGGCAACAATTGCAATGATCATTATCCTTGCCAACTTATCACTAGTCGAAGTTTCTATATTATGTGGCAAGACAATCGTCGAGAAATCGACGAATAGTGATAGTCGACTTATGTAAGGTTGTTGGCGTTGCAGCGCTGCTTCAGTGCACAGCTGCAATCGAGCTAAGTCGGCCTGGAAAGGTGCTTATTTTTTTAAAATAAGCGCTTGCCCGACCATATAGTATGCATTAACAGCAAAATTATGGTATCTCGCCACAAAATCATGAAAAAAGCGCTTTATAGCGCTTAGCTTAAGCGAGAGATTTCGATCTCGTGCTTAAGTTTGGCGTTTGAGTTTCGATGTCCATGAATGATTAGCCTCGCATGGTCTAGGAGTTCAAATAGCCAACGCATTTCTGGGTCTCCCCTTCTTGTTTTGCTTAGCAATAAGCATAACATGAAGACATGGACTGAAATGCCAACGGTTGCTGATTCCCGTCAACTTGGAGCTGCTCGATGGTTCGTAATGGATTCGTGGTTACCTGGTCGTTCTGGATGGATCCAGAATTTGGCTTGTTTTCATCTTTTGTGCTTAAATGTGCAAATT